GTAGCTTGTTACACCATGAACTCATCCCAACACACTCTACACGACCAGGTAGCTTGTTACACCATGAACTCAAACACACCATCTACACGACCAGGTAGCTTGTTACACCATGAACTCAAACACACCATCTACACGACCAGGTAGCTTGTTACACCATGAACTCAAACACACCATCTACACGACCAGGTAGCTTGTTACACCATGAACTCAAACACACCATCTACACGACCAGGTAGCTTGTTACACCATGAACTCAAACACACCATCTACACGACCAGGTAGCTTGTTACACCATGAACTCAAACACACCATCTACACGACCAGGTAGCTTGTTACACCATGAACTCATCCAAACACACCATCTACACGACCAGGTAGCTTGTTACACCATGAACTCAAACACACCATCTACACGACCAGGTAGCTTGTTACACCATGAACTCAAACACACCATCTACACGACCAGGTAGCTTGTTACACCATGAACTCAAACACACCATCTACACGACCAGGTAGCTTGTTACACCATGAACTCAAACACACCATCTACACGACCAGGTAGCTTGTTACACCATGAACTCAAACACACCATCTACACGACCAGGTAGCTTGTTACACCATGAACTCATCCCAACACACCATCTACACGACCAGGTAGCTTGTTACACCATGAACTCATCCAAACACACCATCTACACGACCAGGTAGCTTGTTACACCATGAACTCAAACACACCATCTACACGACCAGGTAGCTTGTTACACCATGAACTCAAACACACCATCTACACGACCAGGTAGCTTGTTACACCATGAACTCAAACACACCATCTACACGACCAGGTAGCTTGTTACACCATGAACTCAAACACACCATCTACACGACCAGGTAGCTTGTTACACCATGAACTCAAACACACCATCTACACGACCAGGTAGCTTGTTACACCATGAACTCAAACACACCATCTACACGACCAGGTAGCTTGTTACACCATGAACTCATCCCAACACACCATCTACACGACCAGGTAGCTTGTTACACCATGAACTCAAACACACCATCTACACGACCAGGTAGCTTGTTACACCATGAACTCAAACACACCATCTACACGACCAGGTAGCTTGTTACACCATGAACTCATCCAAACACACCATCTACACGACCAGGTAGCTTGTTACACCATGAACTCAAACAAACTATCTACACGACCAGGTAGCGTGTTACACCATGAACTCATCCCAACACACTCTACACGACCAGGTAGCTTGTTACACCATGAACTCAAACACACCATCTACACGACCAGGTAGCTTGTTACACCATGAACTCATCCAAACACACCATCTACACGACCAGGTAGCTTGTTACACCATGAACTCAAACACACCATCTACACGACCAGGTAGCGTGTTACACCATGAACTCATCCCAACACACTCTACACGACCAGGTAGCTTGTTACACCATGAACTCAAACACACCATCTACACGACCAGGTAGCTTGTTACACCATGAACTCATCCAAACACACCATCTACACGACCAGGTAGCTTGTTACACCATGAACTCAAACACACCATCTACACGACCAGGTAGCTTGTTACACCATGAACTCATCCCAACACACCATCTACACGACCAGGTAGCTTGTTACACCATGAACTCAAACACACCATCTACACGACCAGGTAGCTTGTTACACCATGAACTCATCCCAACACACCATCTACACGACCAGGTAGCTTGTTACACCATGAACTCATCCCAACAGACCATCTACACGACCAGGTAGCTTGTTACACCATGAACTCAAACACACCATCTACACGACCAGGTAGCTTGTTACACCATGAACTCAAACACACCATCTACACGACCAGGTAGCTTGTTACACCATGAACTCAAACACACCATCTACACGACCAGGTAGCTTGTTACACCATGAACTCATCCAAACACACCATCTACCCGACCAGGTAGCTTGTTACACCATGAACTCATCCAAACACACCATCTACACGACCAGGTAGCTTGTTACACCATGAACTCAAACACACCATCTACACGACCAGGTAGCTTGTTACACCATGAACTCAAACACACCATCTACACGACCAGGTAGCTTGTTACACCATGAACTCATCCCAACACACCATCTACACGACCAGGTAGCTTGTTACACCATGAACTCATCCAAACACACCATCTACACGACCAGGTAGCTTGTTACACCATGAACTCAAACACACCATCTACACGACCTGGTAGCTTGTTACACCATGAACTCAAACACACCATCTACACGACCTGGTAGCTTGTTACACCATGAACTCATCCCAACACACCATCTACACGACCAGGTAGCTTGTTACACCATGAACTCAAACACACCATCTACACGACCAGGTAGCTTGTTACACCATGAACTCAAACACACCATCTACACGACCAGGTAGCTTGTTGCAACATGAACTCATCCCAACACACCATCTACACGACCAGGTAGCTTGTTACACCATGAACTCAAACACACCATCTACACGACCAGGTAGCTTGTTACACCATGAACTCATCCCAACACACCATCTACACGACCAGGTAGCTTGTTACACCATGAACTCAAACACACCATCTACACGACCAGGTAGCTTGTTACACCATGAACTCATCCCAACACACCATCTACACGACCAGGTAGCTTGTTACACCATGAACTCATCCAAACACACCATCTACACGACCAGGTAGCTTGTTACACCATGAACTCAAACACACCATCTACACGACCTGGTAGCTTGTTACACCATGAACTCAAACACACCATCTACACGACCAGGTAGCTTGTTACACCATGAACTCAAACACACCATCTACACGACCTGGTAGCTTGTTACACCATGAACTCAAACACACCATCTACACGACCAGGTAGCTTGTTACACCATGAACTCATCCAAACACACCATCTACACGACCAGGTAGCTTGTTACACCATGAACTCAAACTATCTACACGACCAGGTAGCGTGTTACACCATGAACTCATCCCAACACACTCTACACGACCAGGTAGCTTGTTACACCATGAACTCAAACACACCATCTACACGACCAGGTAGCTTGTTACACCATGAACTCATCCAAACACACCATCTACACGACCAGGTAGCTTGTTACACCATGAACTCAAACAAACCATCTACACGACCAGGTAGCGTGTTACACCATGAACTCATCCCAACACACTCTACATGACCAGGTAGCTTGTTACACCATGAACTCAAACACACCATCTACACGACCAGGTAGCTTGTTACACCATGAACTCAAACACACCATCTACACGACCAGGTAGCTTGTTACACCATGAACTCATCCCAACACACCATCTACACGACCAGGTAGCTTGTTACACCATGAACTCAAACACACCATCTACACGACCAGGTAGCTTGTTACACCATGAACTCATCCCAACACACCATCTACACGACCAGGTAGCTTGTTACACCATGAACTCAAACACACCATCTACACGACCAGGTAGCTTGTTACACCATGAACTCATCCCAACACACCATCTACACGACCAGGTAGCTTGTTACACCATGAACTCAAACACACCATCTACACGACCAGGTAGCTTGTTACACCATGAACTCATCCCAACACACCATCTACACGACCAGGTAGCTTGTTACACCATGAACTCATCCCAACAGACCATCTACACGACCAGGTAGCTTGTTACACCATGAACTCAAACACACCATCTACACGACCAGGTAGCTTGTTACACCATGAACTCAAACAAACCATCTACACGACCAGGTAGCTTGTTACACCATGAACTCAAACACACCATCTACACGACCAGGTAGCTTGTTACACCATGAACTCATCCCAACACACCATCTACACGACCTGGTAGCTTGTTACACCATGAACTCAAACACACCATCTACACGACCAGGTAGCTTGTTACACCATGAACTCAAACACACCATCTACACGACCAGGTAGCTCGTTACACCATGAACTCATCCCAACACACCATCTACACGACCAGGTAGCTTGTTACACCATGAACTCAAACACACCATCTACACGACCAGGTAGCTTGTTACACCATGAACTCAAACACACCATCTACACGACCAGGTAGCTCGTTACACCATGAACTCATCCCAACACACCATCTACACGCGCCAGGGAGGGTTGACACGGCTGATACCACTAGACAACAGCATCACCACTTAGCAAAAAGGCCGTCTACAGCAGTGTAGCCTCCAACCAAAACCTGCAGTACCTGCGTTTCTCTGCTTTGTACAAGAGGGGGAGGGTGGGGGTACCTCAGTCTAATTTTACTGACTTTGTATAAAGGTGGGGGGGGGGGGGAGAGGGTAGTCTACCACCTTTGTACATGGAGACCTCCATGGGGGTGGGGCAACAGGAGGGGGAATGTGGCTTCAGAATACTTGTACCAAACATGATTCAGTTGAAAGTGTACTCTCATTAAGTTATTTTTTATCATTAAAGAACAAAAGTGTATGATCACCTCCTGAAAAGGTTTAGTAGTGGTGGTGGGGATAAGTTTATTCATGGCGTCACATAACAAGCCTGAGTCACCAGACACAAGTCTCTTGTTTGCTATCAATCACATTCAAACTGTAGGGCATTCTATATTTCCATTACTCAAACTGCCCCCCCCCCAGATCATTCTAAAAGATTCAGGTAAGGGACAGATTAGGGAGTGGGTTGGATCTAGAGATGTCAGGATGCCACAGATTAGTGTGGGACAAGGTGGACATTGTCCTGTATTCACTTATAATCTGGATTCTTCAAACACGATGGACAGATTAATCAGTTTTAAACATATGATTAAATAGAAATTAATTTGTAATTTATATTTTAAAAATATAATACTAATACAAACTTTATGCAATAACACAATGAAAAGAAAAAAAAACCAAACTAATATGTAATTTTGTTACATCAATTTATATTGCAGAAAATATTGCATTAAAGTACTCAATTTTACAGTATTTTCTTAATTAGTAAAAATGTTTAGTATATATTGTGCTATACCATGATTACAAAATATCACTACTAGTAATCAAGGGGAGGCTATAAGCACTTTATTTATTTATTTTTTAAATCTAATGTGTAATTTAGTTTTACAAATTAAAGAAGTTATTGAATTACCCATCAATTTCTGTTATCTAAAAATTAATAAACAATAAGTTATCAAAGCTGAATATAAATGTAATTATTTTTTTTTAGTTTAAACTACATAACTTCATTAAATTTTATTATATTTCTTTTTGATTATTTTGTGATTTATTTTCATTACATGGATGAAGTATCAACAAGTACACCATACAAACCACAGAAGATAGATTTAAATTATGATTCTAATACCATTATATCAGAATACAATATACAAATGTCACATTCTGAATCAGTGCAATGATTTCAACAGCATTCTTTGATGAAGTGCTAAAAAGTACAAGTTTGGACCTGTGGTAAATATCAAGTGCCCATCAATCCTGACAGAACTTCAAGACCACAGATGTAATTTGAACATTTAATCCTTCTTTTATGTAAATAAAACTACTCGACCACATAATCTTGCAGGAAGTGTTGTAATGTTTTATAATATGATGAAATTCTAGGTTTAAATAATCAGCATTTAAATTGTTAACTATTTACATACTTGGTTACATGTATTTTATCATAACTTGCATCACAGATAACAGTTATCAATTCAAAATCATGAAATAACGCTTCTCCTTTAAGTGTGTTGTTTAGGGTTCAATAACAGCTAAAGCTAAACAATAAACAAGTTATAAAAAATAACAATAGTCTTATATGGTCAATATTTACATTACAAGTAAAAAAATATGCTAAAACACTTTAGGCTGAAGAAACTTCATTGAAAAATTGAAATAGACCTATTTAAATTTGTTAAGTTATATATGCATACACTATCTCTCACTATTCAACCGGGTTTTTCTGTCTTCTTCATCTTGTAATTGTTGTTGCTGTCTTAAAAGTTTTGTTATATCTCCCTGCTGTTCCAGATGAAGAACATTCTGTAGTTTCTTTTGTTGCCTGGCTAAATCATTGATAACACCCTCACGTAATCGCTGTGGAGACAAAATTAATGCAGATATTTTTTAAATAGATAAATCTAGATCTACATAATAATCATCAATAAAATGTCAGTTCTTTTTCAAGCAGTACAAAGTTAATATTCATGAAAATAAGGGACATAGTATGGAAAACTAAAAAATAAATGACCCGCATAATTAATGTATTAATTATTAAATAAAAAATAATAGGCCAGCAGCTATAACTGTATAACATCATACAAGAAATGTTAAATCTCATTATTTAATAAATAAGATAATTAATTAATTATTTAAATATCGCTTGTAATAATGAAGGGAGAAGTTTATTTTGTTTAAGGCTCGACACACAACACTGTGCGTGTGTGGCATGTGGCCTGAGCGATTGAAAGGAAATCGTTTATATTGTTTTGAGTTTTTATTTAATTCAATGCAACAAGCCCGCAGGTTGGTTGAGGCCAGCCAGGGGTTTGTTCTGCCAGGGATACAAAGGGTCGACTCGAAATATCGTCCAGAACTTTATTATTGGCCAATCTACGTCTAAATACAAAACAAATACGATAGTACTAAAAATACCTCAGTGGCTCAGACTAGTCTACAGTACAGTAGTACAATTGGTCAAGTAGTACTAACCTCTCGATCATTCTTTTGGCTTATGTGAACATAATAAATTACTCCACACGTGAAGGCTGCTGATGCTGAAAGAGTGGCCCATGCTGTCTTTGACATGATGATTATGTCTATGACTCAGGTTTCTGCAAAAAAAAATGTGTAGGCTACTACTACTACTGCTAGTACTAACTTACTACTAACTAGATCTACTAATACTAAGTTAAGTTCTAGATATAGATTATATATTATATACTATATATGATATAGGCCTATAGATAGATTCTAGCTAGCTTCTAGATCTAGAAATCTAGTAGTTAGTGAGTCTAGAGTCTAGACTAGGTCCAGAGTATATCCAGACTTAGTTTACTAATTATAATAATTAATTAATTACAGACTTACACTTACAGTTCTAGTTAGTAAACTAGTTACTGTGTAGTGGTAGTGAAGTAGTGTGTAGTTACCAGTCAGTTGAGTTTAAGTTACAGTGAGTCTAGAGCCTAGACTAGGTCCAGAGTATATCCAGACTTAGTTTACTAATTATAATAATTAATTAATTAGGGACTACAGACTTACACTTCTAGTTAGTAAACTAGTTACTGTGTAGTGAAGTAGTGTACTGTTTTAGAGTCTAGTTACCAGTCAGTTGAGTTTAAGTTACAGTGACAGTCTGACTGAGTTAACTAAAAACTAGAAGTCTAGGTTAGGTTTAGTTAGTACATCCTCAAATCTAATGTCCTTCAGGGTACTTCGTAATTTCAAACAGACTTAGGAACTTATTTTAAACCAGATTAAGTAGTAAGATCTAGATTAAGTTAAATAATTGAAATTGAGTGGTGTGTAATGTTCAAGGAGAGCTGTGTACTGTGTAGGCTACGCTGTCATGTGTAGTACAATGCTCGTTTTAAAGAAACGCTACTCTAAAATCATTAGAAGACTTACCATAGCAGTTTTTTGTTGCTTTCCCTTTGTTATCCAATGTTATCGCTGGGGTAGGCGTATGGCCGAGGTCAAATATCTCACACTCGGGGGTTGGGGATGTGAGGGGTTTGGAGAGTTGAGATATTTTCTGAAGATGTTTGGCGGGTGGGGGTTAAACGGTGACATCACAGAGTTAGACATTTAAAAGATAAATTTGTAAAACCGAATTTTGGTACGTTTTAAATTCATTTTATAATATTAAATTAATGTGAAAAACCTATCTGTAACAGTAAAGGACCATGACGTGTGTATTTAGTAAGCAGCATATACCCGACATGGACGTTTGACAAAAGAACATATCACATTAAATCTAACTCTAAACTGAAACTTGACACTAACCACAACCAACCAAAACTCGAAAAAAAAAAACGCCAACCCAAACTCAAACCCAAACACAAAGAAAACACAAACGCAAACCCAAACACAAAGTAAATACAAACGTAAACACAAAAACATAAACATAAAAGTAAACGTAAATGTAAACGCCAACGCAAACACAAAAACAAATACAAATACAAACGGAAACAATAACTCAGAAAATAATGCACAATTAAATACGAACACAAACTTAAACTTAAACACAAACATACACGCGCCTGATTCAATTTAGTGAATGACTATATAACCCCCAGCTTTTCCGTAAACGAAAAGATAGAAGTAAACTAAGAGGACGTTTAGGAGCGGCTTGTAAACTGTTGATTAAAAATAATAATTAGTAAACATACGTTCAATGTATAAAGAAAATAAAAGACAGTATTTAAAATATCCGTGTTTTTACCTACCACAGTGCACTTTATCAAATATGCTCATTTTATAATAATTATTTTTTCCAACATCAAAACAAACTAATAAAAAGTATCCCCCCCCCCCCCACCTCGATGTAATGTTCTTTTTTAAGTGAAGTACATTTTGTTATGATCTATCAAGGAAAGTAATTGGTACTAAACAAACAAATAGAGATAATTGCAGACACAATTTATATTTTTGTGAAGGGTGATACACTTTGATTTTGTTTATTCCACATGACGTTAAAACACTTTAAGAAAAGAATATTACACTATGGCGATCAAGTCGAGTTTATTTTTTTACTATATGCATGTGTTCTACTCTTCCAGGCTCTCCCCCCCCTCCCCCCCAAAAAAATCTACCGCCCCTCACTGAACGAAATGGAATTTATACATAAAATATATACATTTAACAGTGCCCTCCCCCCCCTCCAGAAGAAAGTCTACCGCCCCCCCCCCCCCCGAAAATTTCAAGTGCCCCCCCCCCCCCCGTGAAAAAAGTCTGGAAGAAACACTGGTTCTACTGGTCCGTCCGCCTGCTGTCCGCCACATACAGAGTTGCGCTTTATATATTAGATAAAAAAAAAATGTTTGAAAGTTAATAAATAAATCTAGAACTAGATCTAATCAGTGGCGGAACTAGAAAAAATGGGCCACCCCGCAAAAAAATTTTTTGGGCCCCCCATATATGTATATGTATATGTATATGTATATGTATATATATATATATATATATATATATATATATATATATATATATATATATATATATATATATATATATATATATATATATATATATATATAAACACACAATACGAACATAGGATACTCATTTCTGGCCTGATCGGGTTTTGAAAAAAAAATTCAATTAAATCTAATCACAACAACATGTCATGTGTATCAGTGGCGGAACTAGAAAAAAAGCCCCCCCCCCCCCCCCAAAAAAAATTTTTTTTGGGCCCCTATATGTATATATATATATATATATATATATATATATAAAACAAGGTTCGCTCTCAATTTAAAAAAAAGTCCATCTGGTACACGAATAAATCAGAGGTTTTCCAACACACGAGCTGGCCCCTTTCTAAATCTAGTCCAACACACTAAACTGAGGCTTTAATCAAAACGTTACTAACCGTGTGCCCTGTTTTCCAGAAGTTGAATTAAATTTTAACAATGTCGGCAGTTCATTTCTTGGATCTTAGGGCGCGGGTTTGTCCACACTACCAACTAGACACGCCAAGGCATGCTGTAAATCCCTCGGCGACGGCCCAGGTGTCAGGGGAGTCACGGGGCTCTTGGAGCTACCGGTTACATTACTGCACGGGTGATGGGTGTGACACATTGTTTCTTCCGGCAGAGCTCCCCCCCCCCCCTCCCCTCCCCCGAAAACAGTCTACCCTGGAAGAAACATTGGTGCGACATCTAATTAGATTTAGTCATCGAGTGTAGTAGCGAGACTTATTCCTAGTGTTGTGGGAACTTTTAAACGACTGTCTGTGGGGGCCAACTTGCTCATATGTGATGCGCTCAGGATGACACTGAAGCCAGTTGTATTTAAGTAGTAACCTCATCTGCTTATGCAGGATCACGGGGCGCTAAATCACATATTTCCGTTAGGAGTCCCCACTCAAATATGTACAAATGTTAGGCCTATGACAGAAACCTTTGCGGGGCTGTACTCAACAGCTTCCCAAGTTTTCATGGCGATTGGGTGAATGATGCAGTAATGCATAATAATAATAGAGAGAAAAATGTTTTTCACATGTACAACTGTATGTGGCCAGGTCACGCGTTGGATAACCCTCTGATTTAGGGGAGGGGGGGATTAACAAAAAGCCTGACCCTCACTCACCCCCACCTCAATGACTATTAATAATGTCCAATTAATTCTAAACGTTCTAATTAATTTCTAAATAATTATATAAAAAATAATCTTACCTGCCCTGTTTTGTGAATTAGATGTGCCTAATACTATGAAAGTAAATTAATATGTGTTGACTAGATCTAGTGCTGTCTAGTGTCTGACAAAATGTGCTGAAGTGGTGAATCGTACGGTTAGGAAGTAGTTCATAAACGATACATTTATCTCCTCGATACTTGTGAGGTTGAGAAAGAGGGATGGGATAGGGGTCGGCTCGGGGAAAAAACTTAAAAGGGACAACAAAACGCCTTGATCTATGTATGTCAGCATCGCCCATTGTAAAACTTACTCAGGGGAGATAATTTGAAGTATAGGCCTTAAAAGTTACTATATTTCTTGTAAAATCAAAAACAAGTAAACGTATATAAAACTGAAGTTTCTAGTATTATATATTTTTTTTAAATTATTTGTACGATACAAGATAGTACAGGATACAAATTCAACCACTATCACAAACACATATTAACATTGAAAAATGTACAATGGATTTCGGGTCCCCTACCAATGCCGCAAATAAGAACTGCGCATCATGAAAGTATTGCAAGCCCACTTCATATGTAGCGGCTCTTCGTGCTATGGACTTTGTTGTTTTTTTAAAAAGAATTTTGCCGGCGACAGCGTGTGTTTGATTGTAGGGAAATAGAACTCGGCCTTGACGATGGTTAAAAAATACAACTATAAATAACTGTTTTAAATATGTAAAGAATTTGTCGACAATTTTTTAACCCCCTTTTTGGTCCCCATCCCCTGCCCCATCCGCCACAGTATACTTTGGAGGATCGGTCAAACAGTTACGTGTCCTCTATTTAGCTATCAAAGGGAGGGGGGGGGGGCAACGAGTCAAAGAAGTCATTCAAAATGTGAAGAGTTGCCTATATTTTACACTGTAGTTTGTGTAATGGATTTTATCTTTTGCGGAAGAGCGTGGTATAGTGACTGTAAAATAAAGATAATCGTACCGCAGCTAGTGTTTTTCTTTTACAAACCAAATATTAAGGCAAAAATTAAATTCAAAATTTAAAAAAAAAAAATTTTGGTCAGCCGTGGGCCCCTAAACGGCCTCCCCCCCCCCCCCCCGCACATTGCGGGGTCTGGCGGGACTGTAGTTCCGCCCCTGTTCATCAGGTAAATGAACAACTACTGACTAGTGTCTTTAACAAAATGTGCAGAAGTGGTCAGTTTACAGTTCATAGACGGTTCGTTAATCTATGCATTGCATCTTATTGTAAGAGTAAGGGTGTGGTGAGGGGTAGAAGTGAGGGGTAGTGGGGGAGGGGGGGGGGGGGGAGAGAGTTGGGAAGGGGACAAGAAAGCGCCGATAAACATCTACATCAATAGTGCCGACTTTTTCCGATCGTCTAGAAGACCAGGATAGTCGCCTCGCCGCAACATTTCCCCAGCCCGATTTCAAAGCGTACCGGCACAGTCAAATTTCAGATGCTTCGTCTTTGAAGTTGTCTATATGTCTGGCGGTCTCTCGAGCTATAGTCAGTGCATTTTTCTCAAAGACGTTTGCCGACTATCGTGTTTGTTTGTAACTGTAGAAGAAAGATAACTCGACCTCCGCCTATTTTTTTTTTTTTTTTTTTTTTTTTTTTTTTTAAATAATTTAGCCAGGATTTTTGGGCCCCCAATTGGTCTGGCCCCCCCCCCCCCCCGCATTGCGGGGTCTGGCGGCACTGTAGTTCCGCCCCTGGATCTAATACTGATCTGGATTCGATACAATTTTCTATTTCACCATTGAATCGCCATAATCCATGCAAAGGGAAATGACTCAATCAATATTTTCGGGAATATCATCCTAGTACAGGGGTCGGCAACCTTTTGAGACGGAAGAGCCAAAAGTTACAGTTTACAAAATTTTCCAGTTTTTAAAGAGCCACTACCATTTTTATTTCATTTTTTTTTAATTTGATTAGGATTAGGTGTATATTCTGGAAGAGTATTCAGTTCGTCACATAATAATGCCTCAACTTGCGGTATTTCTTTTAGAGCTGTCCACTTGTGCAGCGAAACGTGCATGTTTTATTGGACCTCCAACTATTTTAACTTGCCCTTGAGCTCTGTCAAGTTATTACTCCACAATGACAAATGTTTTGTTTTCAAATCCAGCGATTTCATTTGAAGCAAACCAGCATCAATTCTAAAAGCTCAATGTTCATCTAATTTTTTTTTTCTGTTGAGATGACCTACAGAGTTTCTTCCGGGCATCTCTACCGCCCCCCCCCCCCCCGAACGAAATAAAATTTATATAGAAAATATATACTTTTAACAGTGTCCGCCCCCCCCCCCCGAAGAAAGTCTACCACCCCCCCCACCCCCCCCCCCAAACGAAATAAAATTTATATAGAAAATATATACTTTTAACAGTATCCGCCCCCCCCCCCCCCGAAGAAAGTCTACCACCCCCCCCCCCACCCCCCACCCCCCCCCCCCAAACGAAATAAAATTTATATAGAAAATATATACTTTAAACAATGTCCGCCCCCCCCCCCCCCCCCCGAAAAAAGTCTTGGTTTTCATTTCCTTGCACTTTTACATTTATCTCGTTTAGTTTCTATGTAATATCCATTATACACCATGAAGTTGAATGCTTCAATTCGGGATGGACAATTTAATAGGAAGTACATAGAAATAGGGAGTAACTAAATATTCTAAAAGAATAGCGAGTGTTTATTGTTTATATTTATTATCATATCGTTCTTTACCGAGTGTTGCAGACTAATATTTTTATGAGTTATAAAAATAATTATTAATATGTGTGCATGGAGCTGAAGAGCCGCATATTGACATCAAAAGAGCCGCATGGTTATATGCTCTTACAGAAAATAAAACAATAAAATATATAGGGCGGTCGCTGTCGTCTATTTTATAACAGTGTTTCTTCCAGACTTTTTTCTTCGGGGGGAGGGGGGCACTATAATGGACTAAAACTGAGTTTCTTTCAGGCATCTATAAATCCTTTTATATATATATATATATATATATATATATATATATATATATATATATATATATATATATATATATATATATATATATATAAATATATACTCGATTGTTTGAATATGCGGAGAATGTTGGAGTTATCCATAAATGACGTCACGCTTTTTATGGACGAATTTTACCTCCACTCCCTTCCCTTCCGTCACACATGATCACAAAAAGCCAGCCCCCCCCCTCCTCCTAAAATGACGTCACGCATCAGCCTACAACTCCCCTCAAAATTGCTGCTTTTTTTCTTATAACATCGATTTTTTTTTTCAAAATCTTGTCTGAACTCTGTCATAGAATATTTTAATCAATTATTATTACAATTTATTTAAACAATTTTCTAAAACGCGAAATAACGGCTAAAATTCGTTTTCTAACAATAACATTACTGTTTTATAATGCAAAAGTGTGTCGTCACACAATCTAACCCCCCCCCCCTCATCACACACTGTCACAAAATTACGGACCCCCATCTCTCCTACGAGTGTGACGTCATTTGGGCAGAGTGAATTTTACCAAGAAATCTACTGTTACATCAGTGTAACTGTAACTATGTCCAGTGTAACTATATCCAGATCTATAGTATATCGTTATTTATAGATCTACTTTTAGTTTCAGTTGTTTGGAAATTCTAAGCAGAGACTGGCTCTAGGCCTTACGATTTTTAAATATCAAATTTAATAAAAAGTGAAACAACCACGTGACCACACCCAATAACTACAAGCCACGAGATAAGTTATTTTTAGTGACTTGACCCAAATCTGACGTAAACATTCTAACCACCATCTTGTTTAACGTCACCTCTATACGTTTACAAGGAAAGAAGCCGACGGTCGCAAGTAAATAAAACTGGAGGGGAAAATGAAATCTCTTCTTATCATGGGGGTGAGCTTCGTGCTCACATCGGCTGTTATTGGAAATGCATTTTATCAGAAGAAACAGTTTTATCCTTCCGTGGTTTACATAACAAAATCGAATCCATCAATGGCAGTAAGTAATATAAAAAAAAAAAAACGTTTTAAGTTTTAACTACAAGACTTCCAAACTGCTGGGGCTGTCTGCTTGGCTTGGCTTAAATTATATTAATTATTTATAATTAAGTGACTAGATCTAGAATCTAGATCTAGAAAAAAAAAGAGTTCATAATGCAATTCACTATTATAGTTCACTACACTCTACACAATACTAGTTTCAAATAGAGATTTATTCAGTTAAAGATCTGAATCTAGACTCTAGAGTCTAGACTCTAGAGTAATCTAGAGTCTAGTGCTAGTGTCAGCCAAAGTCCAGTGAACTCTACCTACTGACTTTCTACAGTAAAACACCAAAACAGTCTACAAACTACCTTTTACACTACACACAGTTACACCTACACTCTACAGTACTACACTCTCCTAGCCAGAGTGACTAGCTAGTGGCTTTTAGACTTAGTAGACTAATCGGTAATTGATCGTGTTAGATATGTAAAATCGGCAGAGACTAGTAATGTGAAAAAAGGTGACTCAATAAATTTTAGTAATCATTTAACCTTTTTATATATATACGAAGTATAGAGAAAGTCTTGTAATCGTGCAAAAAAAAAAATCGACATTTTTACAAATCTCGACGTTTTACATCTCACTGATACGGAAAAACATAATTTTGCAATCTTGTCCATATGTCTGTGTGTCTCTGTGTGTGTGTGTGTGTAAACACAATTACTTGAGTACCGTTACAGCTAGGTTGCTGAAATTTCATATATAAGTATTTTATCAAAATCGTAGATCCGTATCAACTTTTGAGCGATTTCCGATAACCGGAAGTGGTACTTTTTCTACTTTGAATTTTTCAAAAGCCTATAATTTGAGTACTATTTCAGATAGATAAATGAAATTTCACATGTAAGTAAAAGATCTAATTCTCTACCTTCTGTCAAATTTTGAATAATTTCCTTTGACCGGAAGTACTAATTTACGCTATTTCCGATTTCTAAAAAAAAACGCACGTAATTTTATAAAGTACTAATAATATTGCGCACTATTATGCACATTTTATTAGGCGTTCACTTAGTGTGCAATTCTTTTTTTTTTACGAGATTCCATTCTATTATAAAAAGTTTAAGTAATTAAAAATGGATTACAAATATTGTCTATGTCCTGAGTTGCCATCCCTCGTAGTTTTATATTAGAATATCCGAGAAAGTTTAGGGGAGATCACTCCCGGTTTATTTTAGGAGAATTTATGTTATGAAAGTTACAAAAGTTTTTCAAAGTTTCATTCATGTACCTGCTTTTTGAACAATTGTATTAACACTTTTCAGTAATAAATAAAGACTTGCAATGTTTTCATCAGATGCAACCAAGCTCATTTACTTTATCAGCCATATTAGGTTATTTTTGGTAAAATTATAGTTAGAGATTCAGGGGAAACCACTCTAATTTACAGATGGCCACTGTTTATATAGCAAATCTTGCTCGCTAACACTGCTGTTTAAAGTTAATTTCTGGCCTATATTGATATATTTAGCCATTGATTTTGGTGTATTATTGAGTTATCTATAATATTTGACACAAATATATCACAATATACTTCTATTAAGTCCTTAACAATGAGGAAACTTGTTTTCACATTACTAGCTAAGGCCCATTTTATGCACCTAAAAAGATAGATTATAGACTAATCTAATTCTAAGACCTAAGACTCCCTAAGAGTATCTAGAGATCTACTTGTTAGTTTATAGTGTATAGAGTCTAGTAGAGGCTGTTCCAATAACCTCTGGATACCTTATTCCCTATATTTTTTAATAATAATAATATTAGGGCAAATGATTAAATTAGGCCTAATTACTAATGACTGATTTTAAAAATTAATGATGATTACCCACATCAGATTTCAGTTATTGCCATCTGACCATTGTACTTGTTTTGTCCTAGTGACCTAGTGTATCTTTCTGTTTAGTCAGATTTACTGTTTGTGTATATATCTGGTAGCTATTTCCAAAATTACTAGATCTATATTAACGAAGCCATCACCATCAGTAAGTAAAATGCTGTCCATCTGATTTAGCTTAAACAAAATTTGATCGCCTAGTAAAACACTAATCTGTTCACCACAGCACATTGTGAATTTCAAAAGGGATTTTAAAAAACTTCTTTTTCAATAGGTAATCTATATACAAGCACTAGTTTTTGTGTTGTTGATGGGGAAAGTGTTGATAGCATTGTTCTTTGGGCAGTTAAGAGCAGCAGAAATGGAGGTCAGTCTGGAATTCTTTTTTCATCTATCTTTGTAGATTTGGCATATTTTTTTTATCCTCAAAATTTGTTTTAAATCACCATAATAATTATTTAAATATATAGTTCAAAGACATTCTCTATAAAGTTCTTTGAAAGATAAAGGTCATATTAAAATTTTGCTTGTATTATGCAGATATCAAAATTCTAAACCTATTTACCTACATATATGATTAAATAAAGGCATTTAAGCTTTAAAATATTCTACTATAAGATATGAAGATTAACAGAGTTTCAACTTTTCAAAACTTATCTTATTGATGACAACACAGTATTCACTTTACAAATTAAAAGACTAGTTGAAAATATCTGAATACACAAATCATATTAAAATTTATGAAGCATAAAAAAGGATTGTGGAAAATTGTAACTTTTTATTTAAATCCATACAGCATCTTATTGAGCGTTCTTGGTATGCAGTGACAGAAACATGCTTGGCATTCACAGTTTTCAGAGATGATTTCAGCCCACGCTTTGTTGCGCTATTCACTCTGCTATTGTTTCTTAAGTGCTTCCATTGGTTAGCAGAAGACCGAATAGACTATGTAAGTTTAAATAGATATTTATACTAGTATTTGTTTTCCACTCATTAACTGTAAAACGTGTAATTACATTAAGCAAGCATGTTATGATTCAGCTGTAAATTTCACACTTTCCAGATGGAAAGAAGTCCAGCAATATCCTGGTTATTTCACATTCGAGCATTATGTAAGTTATTGTGTTTTTAATGGGATTGTTTTCGTCTGTGATGTTTCATTACCTTTTTCACTATAAACGTGACTTGTATGAACCTAATAAATAACTAAATATGAGCCTGGTTTTTCTCTCCAGCTCTCATGTTTGTTCTGGGTTTGTTGGATATTCTCTTTGTGAGACATGCATTTTATTCAACTTTATTGAAAGGACCTTCTGTACAACTGGTCTTTGGGTTCGAGGTATATAAGTTTGTCACAAAATATTTAAAATATTTATTTTATTAATGCTATTTTTATATTATCTAAATTTGATGTTTTCAACTTTTGGATATCTTTTTTTTCAGTATGAAATCCTTTTTACTGTTGTGCTTATGACATTTATCAAGTATATTTTGCACTCAATTGATTTACAAAGTCAGAATCCTTGGGATAATAAAGCTGTTTACCTCCTCTATTCTGAACTTGTAATGGGTAAGGCACTGTGTACTGTTACGTAATAGTCATATTTTTATGATACTTAAACTTTGATCATATGTTTAAATTTGTAACACAAAACCCTATGAATTATATATTTACCTGTTTTTTTTTAGGTTTTATTCGTGTGATACTGTATATAGCTTTTGTCTTCATTATGATTAAAGTTCATACATTCCCATTATTTGCAATTCGCCCAATGTACTTAACTGTAAGGTAAGTTTGATTTAGGCTAAATATAATAATTAACTTCAGAGCATTATTTTAACAATTGTTATTTTCTAACAGTTTCATCATAATGGTTAGCAATTCTTTTGTTTTTTTTGTCTTTTTATAAAATTTGATCAGCTAAAAATAGATGTCTATAATTCTAAAAAGCAATATCATTTAGCATTAGTCAAATTCAGGGCCAATTATTTACTCTGCCTACTAAGATAATAACTGATTGTTCAAACACTCCCTAGCTCATTGTGTTTGTCATATTCATTACTGAATTTTGAAAATTTTATATAAAATACTCAAGTCAAATGTATATGATATTGTAATCGTATTATATTTTTCCTTAGAGCTTTCCAGAAGGCAGCTCAAGATGTGATACTTTCAAGGAGAGCTATCAGGAATATGAATACATTGTAAGTAATGTAAGAACAATATACATAGTTTTTAGAATAAACATCGAACAAATGCTTTCACTGTGTTTACATGAATAAATGGTACCAAAGCTAAAATGTATCAGTACCAATATACTTGAATGTATTGTGTACACCTTGAATATCTGTAGGTACCCTGATGCTACACCAGAGGAGTTGAGTTCAGGTGACAATGTTTGTATCATCTGCCGTGAAGAAATGACCAGCGGATGCAAAAAGCTGCCCTGCAATCATATCTTCCACACCAGCTGCCTTCGCTCATGGTTTCAGCGCCAACAGACGTGCCCCACTTGCAGACTTGAGGTTCTGCGCATGCCTCGAGCAACAGCAGCTGCTGCAGCACAACCTCCACAACAGCAACCACCTGCTCAACCACAGCCACAGCCTGCTGATCAAATACTTAACCCTTTTCAGAACAGTATGTTGCCATTTCATATCCATCTTTCAGTGATTTCTCGTATAGTAAAGTTAGTTTTACAACTACAGAATTGTTTTGTATTGTAATGTTTTGAACTACTAACTCTAGTGCCAGGCATGTTTGGTGGTTTTCCCCTCCAATGGCCACCAAATGTTGGAGGTCAAGGTGTTGCCCCTCCTTTCATGTGGCCACCCCAGCAGCAGCCTCAGGTACCTGCTGCAGAACAACCCCAAGCAGCTGCTGCCAACCAGGCAACCTCTCAGCCATGTAAGTCCCAATAGTACTTTAGTAGAAATGTATGTTATCAGAGTTCAAGATTTTATAAGGCAACTATTTATTCAGTTTTTTAGTACAGTATAAAGGTAGAGCTGTTAAAGTCTATTATATTGTTCTTAATCATATAATTTAAGCTGCTACCCCATCACCAACAGCAGCATCAGCAGCACCAATGACAGGACCTTCAACAGTATTACCACCTCCTCTGCTACCAGGCTTACCTCCTTTTATTCCACCTATGATGCCTCCAATGTTTTCTCCATTCGGTTAGTATTTACTTTGGCTTTTATTTCACTAATAATATTTTCATAATTTGGTTTAATTACACATTTTTGCTTTTATTTCACCAATGATTTTTTCATCCTTTTGTTAGTGTTTATTTTGGGTTTTATTTCACCAATAATGTTTTCATAATTTGGTTAATATTTATTTTGGCTTTAATTCCACCAATGATACTTTCACACCATTTTGTTTTTAAGTATCTCAAGTTTTCAGTATAAATATTTCACAGACTTCTCTATTTTCATTCAGGTTTCCCACCTCCTCCTATGCCCATGACTGGTCTCAGTGAGGAGGAATTGAAAGCAATGGAGGGAGTAGAAAAATCCAACATTGAGGCAAGAATACAGTGGTTGAGAGACATACAGTCTTTGTTAGATGGGGCCATGGTGCTCATCAACCAATACAATACAGTTGCTAGTCATATGGGGTAAGCCATACTCCACTGCACTGATTTAAGACTAAATTTGGTGCGATATATGCTCTGATTAAAATTCAAAACAATTTTAACTCCTAAAACCTTGCACTAGTACTTTAGGTTGTGACTATTTGTATATCTCTGAAATTTTTTTTTTCAAAACTTTACTTACAGAGTGGCTGGAATCCACACATCACAGCTGTACCCTAGGCCATCAACAGGGTCAGCCCAGCCCACCCCCATATCTACACAAGCTGACACCCATGTCAACTGGTGGCCTGAGGGCTCAGGTGCTCGACCCAAGTACACATCAACCTTCAGTAAAACTGAGACCACAGACTCCCTCAAAGACAGAACAAGTAGCTTTTCCTCACCTCAAGAGCCAGGTACAAATGTGTTCTCACTCTTCTGATTCTCTGCTATTTTTAAACAAATTGAGTCAGAAGTTATTGTTTGATGTTGTTACATATTTTGATAAAAGTCTTGGCTTTTTACTGTAGTGAAAAAACATGCTTAGTGTATAGTAACTAGTGTAGTAAACATTTTCTTGGCAGTGATTTATTTATCTTTCTGTGTTTAAAATTTTTTAAACTATTGAATATTAGCTTTTATTATATGGCCATTTCTATTATGTATAAAGTAGTAATAACAGTAACATATTTTTATATAAAATAGTCAAATAATTTATATTATTTAAAATATATCTCCAACCAGCTGGGGCAACTGGTGTTACAGACCCTTCTGAAGAAGCCATTCCTCACTGGGACAATCCAAGAGATGAAGGGCATGAAGATGAAATGCATGAAGTTCGCAAGCGCAGACTTCAGCATTTTTCCCAACAACTCAACACCAGCTACAGTAGTACCACGCTTGATTCCAGTGAGCACAGTCCCAGTGCCACTGACACAAGCAGCGACTACAGTAACAATCAAGTCAAGGGTGAGAAAAAGAGTGGAGAGAAACATTAACTTGAGCGTCCATTGTCACGTTGCTGCTTGAATTGACAGTGGACAAAGAGGGACATTAGAGGGAGCTTTGAGCCGCCTGTGATTCTTGTTTTATTAATCAGAGACAACTGAAGCAATTCTTTGGTGGATCTATTCACTTTTTAACCCAATGCATTGTCAGGATACATTTTGTTCTTGTGAATGGCGTTTTCTTTTACAGTAATAGGTACAAGTATTTTTTCCTCACATTTAGTTACTGTAAGAATGTACTTCTGCGAAGCTCAACTTGGGTAGGATGGGATGTATGGCTGATCCAAGACTTTCCTTGTACATAAACTACATTTTGTTGATGTTAACTATTATTGCTTTGGCCATGTTAAAAGTCATTTTGTTTCATATCATTTTCAGGCATAATTGAATTATGAAACAATGACCTTGATCAGTTTTGCGATCAAATATAAGTTTAATGTCTGAGATTTTTAAAAAGTTTTCATTTGTGCTGTTTGTCACTGTATGTAATCCATATAAGTTCTAAATAAATTGAGCTTGTTTGGATATGAGTCATAGCATTCTTTAAAGCCAACAACCATGTATATTTAGTGGAAGCTGAAAGGTAGTTCTGTACCCTTCTGTATTCAGTGTTAAATGTTGCCTACATTTGAATGTGTCTTGGAGAACAAAAGAGAAAAAAATTGAGACCAAGTTGGAAAAGTCAGCTGTGAATGACTGCAGGCTAAGTGACCTGGGCTGATTGATGAAGTCTAGAGGGTAGAGCTAAGGGGAATAACTGGTGTGTGAGAATACCTCATCTCATGTGGTGCTGCCTTTTACACATTTTATTATAAATAAAGGTATGCAGTCTTATGTATTCTACTGTCTTTGTTTTGATCTTAATAAACTACCGTTAAAATAAATAAATTTTAAAATCTGAATTGTCCAGTTATAATTTATACATTGCGTAACATTCTATACAGTTATAGAACTTTGAAATAGGGCAAAATGCTTCCTAAAAACTTTAAAATTAAAAAAAAACATTTCTAGTACCTTTTTTTTTATGTTATACAATTATGAAACAGATTCCATAATAGATTTATATCATAAAAATAAAAACAAAATTTAATTTTAAATGACAATCTGCTTGGATTAGATCATTCAGACAAGAAGAATAATTGTTGATTGCCTAATCCTGAATTCTTGTTTTCCTTTTAAAACTCACAATCTTGCTGATGTTAAATTTCTACTGAAATTGGTACATTTTCCTTATTGAGTGTAAAACTCAACTAATTCACTAACAAAATGTTTAGTGACTGTCTTAGTGGTTACTATCTAAAGCTTGGCATATGTATCTGTGCTGGCTGACCACGGTCCTGCTTGTATCTGTGCTGGCTGACCACGGTCCTGCTTGTATCTGTGCTGGCTGACCATGGTCCTGCTTGTATCTGCTAGCTGACCACAGTCCTGCTTGTATCTGTGCTGGCTGACCATGGTCCTGCTTGTATCTGTGCTGGCTGACCATGGTCCTGCTTGTATCTGCTAGCTGACCACAGTCCTGCTTGTATCTGTGCTGGCTGACCACGGTCCTGCTTGTATCTGTGCTGGCTGACCATGGTCCTGCTTGTATCTGCTAGCTGACCACAGTCCTGCTTGTATCTGTGCTGGCTGACCATGGTCCTGCTTGTATCTGTGCTGGCTGACCACGGTCCTGCTTGTATCTGTGCTAGCTGACCACAGTCCTGCTTGTATCTGCTAGCTGACCACAGTCCTGCTTGTATCTGTGCTGGCTGACCACGGTCCTGCTTGTATCTGTGCTAGCTGACCACAGTCCTGCTTGTATCTGTGCTGGCTGACCACGGTCCTGCTTGTATCTGTGCTAGCTGACCATGGTCCTGCTTGTATCTGTGCTGGCTGACCATGGTCCTGCTTGTATCTGTGCTGGCTGACCACGGTCCTGCTTGTATCTGTGCTGGCTGACCACAGTCCTGCTTGTATCTGTGCTGGCTGACCATGGTCCTGCTTGTATCTGTGCTGGCTGACCACGGTCCTGCTTGTATCTGTGCTGGCTGACCATGGCCCTGCTTGTATCTGCTAGCTGACCACAGTCCTGCTTGTATCTGCTTGTATCTGACCATGGCCCTGCTTGTATCTGTGCTGGCTGACCATGGCCCTGCTTGTATCTGCTAGCTGACCACAGTCCTGCTTGTATCTGCTTGTATCTGACCATGGCCCTGCTTGTATCTGTGCTGGCTGACCACGGTCCTGCTAGTCACTAAAGCTTTCATCTAGCTCAGGTGGCGCTAATTGCTTGACAATTCCATTCAGCTGCTTGCTCCTGTGTAGCAGTGCTCGCGTGGTAGCTCGTCTCGACTGGATCTCTGCCAAAATTCCGGCTACCTGAAAATAAAAGTCCAATTGTGAGATCAGACAAAACTCCTGTTACCTGAAAATCAGACACAAATTTGTACCTAGTTCTACAATACCTTTTCGAATCAGACTTAAATCACAAAATGAATTAACTTTTGCTGTTGACATTGACACCATTGTTATTATTTGTGCCGACAACATTGGAATAGGCTTCTACCTAATGTTGATATTGTAATTATAGTTAAATCGATACAATAGATCTGCAGTTACGGCCAAGCAATTTTGTTTATGCATTATTTACACAGGTCTGCAATATTCGTTTTTGAAAGTGTGAAGTAATCGATTACAATCACGTTTCTCGTTCATTGAAAGGTGATTGAGTGCTGTCGATACTTTTCTTTAACAATAGTTTTTGGTTGTTGGACTATAATTCTGTGGATTGTTTTGTATGATGCAAATCTCAGGCTATTTTTTTTTTTTTTTTTTCCCACGTTTTCTTTAACTTGCTTTCTCTGTGTCTTTCTGTGTTTGTTTGTCTTTCCAATCAAATCTTGCGATCGAAATTTCTGGCACTTCCCAGTTAGCTAGCGCGCTGAAATTTTCAGGGAAGCTTTCTTTTGGATGACCATTGAATATTCAATTGTTATTATTACTAAATTGATCAATGGAAACATTTTATTGAGCATTTATACCGCTATATAATCTATATATATAATTCTCCTCTGCGAGCTATTAGAAAAAAAAACGAGCGACGCGTACCTCGCGCGCAGTGAAGCGAACGATCCCACATCGCCACAGGCTTAAGGGCAGATAATTTAGTTTGACCCGAGTTTAAAGTTACAGGAGGTAGGCCAGTTTGGGGGAGACGATATGGTCGAGTGGTTGGGCACACGATTGCTATCCCACTCGACACGGGTTCAAATCTATGTGTTAACACAACGTGTTTTTTACGAGTTGTCTTTTTACGAGTTGTCTTTTTACGAGTTGTCTTTTTACGAGTTGTCTTTTTACGAGTTGTCTTTTTACGAGTTGTCTTCGTTTACCCAAAAAAAGTGAAAAGATAAAATCGATAGCAAGATTTTAATGCAAACAAACAAAGACTAAAAAGTAAAAAAAATAATCATTAAAAAAGTTTTGAAAAAACCCACGTTTTCTGATTGCACTAAAAAGTAGAAAATAAACGCTATACATCACAATAATGCAAGCGATCACTCTACTATAAGCGATCAAAAACGTGGGGCGCCGTGATTTTCTTACAGTTTCTAATACTGTTGACTCTCTACAAGCTCCCTAATAAAAGTCAATAGTATTATCTAATCAATAGTAATATAACTTTTACTTCGGCGCCCCACGTTTTTCATCGCTTATAGTAGAGTGATCGCTTGCATTATTGTGATGTATAGCGTTTATTTTCTACTTTTTAGTGCAATCAGAAAACGTGGGTTTTTTCAAAACTTTTTTAATGATTATTTTATTGGATGTAGTATCTAGAGCAGGGGTCGGCAACCTTTTGAAGCGGAAGAGCCAAAAGTTAATATTTTCAAAATTTCCATGGTTTTAAAGAGCCACTAACATTTTTTAAATTTCAAATATTTTATTTTTTTATTAAGATTATTAGTACTTGTGCAAGGAGCTGGAGAGCCGCATCTTGATATCAAAAGAGCCGCATGCGGCTCGCGAGCCGCAGTTTGCCGACCCCTGATCTAGAGTGATCGATCTTGACGCGACACTTCAGTCATTGGTGGATTTTTATTTCTATTCTGGCTTAGTTGCCCAGAACTACCAGCAGTTTATTTTACTGATGCTCTATACTACTCTATACTATCATAACTGCCAGTGTTTCTTTCAGGCATTTCTCGATTAAGCCATTGTAAAGTGCTGCATCAGACCACACGTCTAGTCTCAGAGATGGCCACTGTTTTCGAACTTGTTTTGTGAATAAAATAATTATTATGACACATTGTTTCTTTCAAGCAGCCTCCCCCCCCCCCCCCCCGGGAGAATAAAGTCTGAAAGAAACACTGCGCACACACAACTATCACATGACTAGCACGTGACTAAACAAATGCTGTACCTGCTGTCGAGGCGCCACCATAGCTCTCTGCTTGAGTTCGTAGTTTGGCGGGGCTGTCTTGGGCCGTCTGTGTGAAGAACTGACATGCTCATCAGCACATCTGTGACGACATACTCTAGTCGACGTCGGTCTAACGCCTCCAGCAAACACGTGCTGTCTGACAGACACATGTGTCTTAACGCTGTGGCTTGATAGACGGCTGTCTTCAAGACACTCGACTAAATCAGTGCAGTCGAAATGTCGAACTTCACGAGTTCCCCACGCTACTTTTTGAGCCAAGTTAGCTGAAGGTTTATTGAAAGTTGGCTGCTGCATGCTGTCAACACTGGCGTTTGATTCTTCACGCGTGGGGCTGTCTGACGATTTGTCTACTCGGGACTGAGACAGGTCAAATATAATGCTGAACTGGTTCAGAATTGACTTGCGTGCAGCGTCCTGTCTCATTGTTGCCTCGTCCTTTTTGTTCTTCACAGCCCACTTCTGCACGCGATCTCCACGCGGCTCAGAGCTGCTTTTGGCAATCCTAGACTTTCCCGCCTTAGTTTGTATGGTGCTGCCAACGGATGCCAGTCTACCCTCCTGCGTCTTCGGCCTAGGGGTGTCTACTTTAATGGAAATGTTTTCTGAGGAAGATTTCAGCGAGTTTGTCAGAAAACTATGACGCCTGGAATCGAGCATAATTTTCCTGTTGAAGAATTCTTTTCTTGACAGTGGCTCTGAACGTTGAAGCGGCGTCTTTGATCTATCTGTGGATCTCTTGCTGCTCTCCTTCAGTGGAGAGCTCCCGGTATCGGCAAGCTGTGAGCTTCCGTTTTCTCCCAGATCGTATCTTCTGGCAATGGTGTGATGTTTTAGGTCCATAGCTCGGGTGTTGGGATGGCCATAGCTGCTCAGACCTGTGGTCAAAGTGTGTCAGAGAAAACAAAATGATTTCAGTGTTCAAAGTCAAAATTTTGATGCGTAAAATGTCAAAAACACAAATGAACTATTTTTAAAAGTAAAATTAAAATTTTATTTCAGTATCTCTTAAAATGATAAAAGAAACATGTAGACCATATTTAGCCAACTAATTTTTTTTAAAACACAGAGCCAGCTAAGTGTGTCGTGTCTCTACTTTTAACGCCATCTAAACGTGTTGTGTCTCTACTTTTAACGCCAGCTAAATGTGTCGTGTGTTTTCCTTACCTGGGGCCTTGTGTGTCAGACACATCAGAAACTCGGCCAGCTGTTGACGTGTTTCTTCCTGTGTCTCTTTAACCATCCGATACTCCTCATTCAACAGCTGTAGACACACAAGGATGTAGGCAAATATGGACTAACACATAAGTAGGCAAGCATGAGCTGACACACAAGGGTGTAGGCAAATATGGACTGACACACAAGGATGTAGGCAAACATGGACTGACACACAAGGATGTAGGCAAACATGGACTGACACATAAGTAGGCAAACATGAGCTGACACACAAGGATGTAGGCAAACATGGACTGACACACAAGGGTGTAGGCAAATATGGACTGACACACAAGGATGTAGGCAAATATGGACTGACACACAAGGATGTAGGCAAATATGGACTGACACACAAGGATGTAGGCAAATATGGACTGACACACAAGGATGTAGGAAAATATGGACTGACACACAAGGATGTAGGCAAATATGGACTGACACACAAGGATGTAGGAAAATATGGACTGACACACAAGGATGTAGGCAAATATGGACTGACACACAAGGATGTAGGCAAATATGGACTGACACACAAGGATGTAGGCAAATATGGACTGACACACAAGGATGTAGGCAAATAACGATTGACGCACAAATGGCATGGGGAAACATGGACCGACACACAAGTAGACAAACATGGACGCACACAAATGGGAAACATGGACTGAGTGAATGACCGGTGAGTGTTATTTATATCATATTCTATGAATGCCAGTTACATCGCACAAAGATTGTGCGAAGATAAATATGTACAAGTGATGTGGACGAACCTATGATATAGAAATAATGTGGACGAATCTATGATGCAGAAATGTTGAGGACGAACCTATAATTTATAAATGATGTGGACGAACCTATGATATGTGGACGAATCTATGATGTAGAAATGATGTGGACGAACCTATGCTGTAGAAGTGATGTGAACGAACCTATGATGTTTAAGTAATGTGGACGAACCTATTGACAACCATGTGAGTAAAAGAGCCCCAGTTTGTTACCTGCAGTCTGTAGCTGAGCTGTTGCTGAAGTTGGATGTTGCGCTTCCTGGTGCGTCGATCTACTTGAACATTTTCCATCGCTGGGTCACCAGGTGTGTCACCAGTTAACAACTGTGTCACCAAAAGAGACTTGGTCACCTCTTGTCTCTTGTCGTCACAAACACAAGAATGTGTTGAAGTTTGTTCTCGACCAGTTCTGTAAGCTTGGTCACGGTGTTCTACTATCGCCTACACCCGCAGCTTTGTGTTGGTTACACACAGGATCAACAACCTGGACGACAAAAACATTTCTCCTCAATTACTCCATGACTGTTTAATCACAACATTTCATGAAGGAATTATTCATAAATCCAATCGTGCAGCTACAAGTAGCCGGAGCTAACCACGCTGTCAAAAGTTGTTCACAATGTCGAGACACAGAAGAAACAACTTCAAACCTTCAAACACAACATGTGCCACCCGGCCCTAATAAAACCTAATAAAAGACGGGTTTTCTGTGTACTAAACCTAATGAACGACAGGTTTTCCGTGCACACAAGTTGTTCTAGCTAACGTCTCTAATTTACCTTGAAAACCCCAATATTAAGCGGCCGTTTTTGTCCCGTATTATTTTTTTTCCTAATAATAAAAAGCTCGTCAGTCGACAGAAGAGAAAAACCGAGACTATATACAGGACAAAAGGCACAACCCAACCAATGGCAGGCAAGTGTCAATGTGCCAGTTATTTAGTGAAATGTCCGTCCACGATTGCAGATAAAAACATTGGTAGAGTGAAAACTGGCGTCCATATCCCAATAATTTAGTGAAATGTCATTTCACACATGGAGATAAACCCCTGTTAATATAGGGGTGACAACTAATACAGCACAAGTCAGAGATAAGCACTTTTGATTTATACGTGGAGTTATTGGTGCTGTTCTCAGTTGTATGAGGGAGGGGAGGGGGTAAGAAAGAGATACATATGGCTTTATTGAACACAAGACTTTTGAAGTAGGTTCCTGCACACAAAGCTGGCATGTAAAAATTACGAGTGGGCATTTTTTTGTTACTTAATTGCCATTAATTATAAACTTCGCCTTTAGTATTTATAATTAGGTTAATTAAGTAGCCACTTCAGAGACGTAGCGAGGGTGGGGGGGGGGGGCGGGAGGGGGACATATGTCCCCGGGCGCCGACCTTAGGGGGGGGGGGGGGGCGCCAAATCGAAAGTTTGTCCCCGGGCGCCGGGAAGGGTCGCTACGCCTCTGAGCCACTTGTTAAATCCGTTCTTAAGAACACATACAATTTCCAACTTGTATTTTATGTTAGTCAGACTTTACTTTTTACAATAAACTTTCAACATGCAACGGAAAAATCTATTTCCAAATTAACTCTTTGAGACCAATGGTCGATATTTAATTAAGTGTAACATATCTAAATGAATAGGATATTGAATCTATTTTTGAATATGTGTGCTAAAGCCCCATCTAGTGGGCGGAAGTTGATTGAGTTGGTTTAGTAACTAGGATCTGAGAGCGGGGCTTGTGTTAGAAAGGGAAACTACTCTTGTTGACACGCTCTAGAAAAACCAATTTATTTTAAATCCAAAGCTTAGGGGAATCACCGTGCTCTAGCGCAGGCAACACAAAATAACAAAACAACAACGTGTTGCAAAGAGTAGGCATTTTTCTGCTGGTGTTGTAAGTGATATGAACGGCAAGTAAACAGGGTTTCTTTCGGGCATGTTTCTCCAGGGAGGAGCACTTGAAAGTCCATGGGCTGGGGTGCGCGCTTGGAAATTCTGGGGGTGGGGCGGAAACTGGTTTTTATCATGTACAGCAGTACCTTGAAATACAAGTGCCCCGACATACGAGATTTTTTATATATGAGCCGTCGAGCGAGTGATGCTTTGATATACGAGTTAAATTTGATGAATGAGGAACAGGGTCAGTGTGTTTCACAGTTGGTGGAAAGGAAACACTCAGACTAAATTGTAACTGGTCTAGAGTTGGAGCTATTTAATGACACTTGTCTAACACATTTCCGAAACATTCTGAAAGGGCGATAGAAACAAATCTCCTTTAAAAGGTTTTTAAAAAACCAACCTGCCTGTTATAGACGAGGAAAACGAATAAAACTTCGAAAAAAAATGGCAAGGGAAGAGAACAGCGGGGACGAATATGACGCGAAAGTAGCATACAGTTACACAGTAGCATTTGAGCTCAATTTAGTTTAGTGAAGTTTTGTTTAGTTCCATTAAGTTTAGGGATAAATTGTAGAATTAAGAGCTCAATAATGAGGTAAATTAAAGTACCGGAACAGTTAAATATTATTAATGTAGCGGGTAAATGAACTGTAAATGCAAGAAGTAAAGCACCCCCGCCTCCCCATACATCTTCCGTTAACTGACTCCGCTGATTTCCGAAGAGTATAGGCCTACACTTTATAAAACCAGAGATTTCTTTACATTCTCTTTTATTTAGGTTTTTATACATTGGGGAAAATTGGCTAACTACCACTATTCTTCATAAATTAGTTTATTTTACCTAAGAATTAAGAAATTGATAACAATCTTTTTTTTTTTTTTTTGCGAAGCACTGAATCATGCCAATTAATAATTTAAAACTGTAGTTACAATTTTCAATAAATACTAAAATAAATACAATTGATCTAAAACATAACATCTACCTTAAGGCCCAACTGAATTATAGCTAAAATAAGTAATAAATGTATTGTTATAAAAACTTACGCGGCATATATTGTCAACACCGTTTAACTATGGTCCTTTCTGGAGCTCGTCTATATTTTATGTACACCATCGGGTCCCCAGCTACACACAGACACGCCCAGCAGCGTGGAATGTCTCAAAGTTTCTCAACTTCACACGACTATGTTCAACTCGATCCAATGGTTTCTCGTCAATCTTAAAATGTAGTTTCTCAAAGAACTTTGACGCATAAGACTCATTTTAATTGTATTTGTTCGCGCTATTGGTCAATTTCATAAAAACTATCACCGGTTCATGGAGTATTTGCACGCTCTGCCTCGGGAGAAAGAACGCGTCATCAAGTCAAACGGTGAAGTTCATTTTTTTCAATGCGATCGTTTCACCGTCTTTTGTCTCCCTGCGGCTTTGAAGTTGCGGTCCGCGCTATTGACGCTGCGCGCGCATTGATTGACTGCTGTGATTACAAGTGTCACGTTTCCACGTCTGCGGTTAATGGCGTATTGTACACTTGCGTCTACTGTAGCCGCGCATAGAAGTGAGTTGCAGTCCCGAGACGCCGTGACTGTTAGAACTGTATTACGTTTGTTACTAAAACAAAAACCAGTTTCGCTTTTCGTTTCTGACGCTCAACAAAAGGTCAAGGTAAAAAATCCGAGTGTGAAAGTTTTGTTGTTCTGTTAATTTTTTAAAGGTCCTGGGAAACGGCGCTAAGATACTTTAATTTATTGATAGGCCTCCGTTTAAATATTGCTATTCTTAATTGCTGATTGAGATCAGGACTGGTTAACCTTGCGGCGTTCTCTCTCGGGCGCCATAAAAATGTATCAAGGCGCGCAGTTGGCGCCATGAGCTCTGTGCGATACATTGATTGGTGTGTTCTGTACTGACACACGAGGGTGGCTCAAAATCAGGCGTAGCGAGGGGGGGGGGGGGCGGGGGGGGGGGACATATGTCCCCGGGCGCCGACCTTAGGGGGGGGGGGGGCGCCAAATTGAAAGTTTGAGGGGAGGTATAAATGAAAAGTTCGAGGGGGGGGGTGCAAATCGAAAAGTTTGTCCCCGGGCGCCGGGTAGGGTCGCTACGCCTCTGCTCAAAATGTATTGTTCAAATTAAATTTTAAGTCAATAGATTTTTCATCGTATGGTAGTTTATTTTGAACATCTTTCCTACCTGCTAATAACAAGAGGGTGCGTTAAAAAAAGATGTACAATCGTGTAATAAACATCTCTTTATCAGACTATTTCGATTTCTGTATGTTTTTCTGTCGGTGTGCCTGTGTGTAAAAAAAAAATGACAAAAGTCCAATCATTTGTGCAAAATAATAAATTCACTTTACACAAAAAATAAATCATATACCGTAAATCAAAATTCGATTCTAAAATTGATGTGGCAAGACAAAGTGACTTTGACTTACTTGTATAGGCCTATAGGAATACTATAGGCGGGTGAACAAGCCAGGAACACGTGACAGGAACACGTGACTGTGAAAATAAGGAGAAGGAATATGAGTTCCTTTCTCACCCTTTTCTAACATACACCCACCAAAAGTAGAATACAATTTCATATTTGTACATCCCCCTTTGCCACACACGTCTACCCCCCCCCCCCTTTTCCCCCATGTGACGTCATTTATGGGCGACCCCCCCCCCCCCGATTAACAAACGATTGAAAACTTGTGTCATTCACTATGCACACAGCAAACAGATTTATGTAATTTGATTACGTTCCTACACCATGCTAGCCGCCCGCAAATAGAGGTTTCTATTGCAGAAGCTTTATCCATATTTTTATAGGTAGTCTTCACATCAGGGGCGTAGCGAGGGGGTGACACCAAGGTAAAAAATAGCAAAATATATAGAGAAAAACTTGAGGGGGGGGTGCAAATCGAAAACTTGAATGTTTGTCCCCGGGAAGGGTCGCTACGCCTCTGGGGGGGGGGGGGGTGACACCATTAAGTGCCGCACCGGGTGACACCCGACCTCGCTACGCCACTGCTTCACATAAATCTATTGGCTCGGCTACGTATATCGGGTATAAAAATAAATGGATAAAATATTGATCTGTGTTGCACAGAAATTTTTCCAATTTGAAAGCGGAGATCGAGTTACATTGAACAGTTCGCGTTGAAAAGTACTTTCCTGCAGTGTTTCTTTCAGCCTTTTGTTCTTTAATCTCAGGGGGAGGGGGGGTACTTGAAACTTGGAAGGGGGGGGGGTACTTGAAACTTGGAAAGGGGGGGGGGCGGAACGACAGACTCCATTTTCCGAGAAAAGCAGGTCTACCTCAGAAACATTCTAGTCGATTAGTGTCATAGTGAGACAAGTGTCTCTGTTGGTAGATTTTAGCTGAAGGTATCTTAGTGAGACATGTGTCTCTGTTGGTAGATTTTAGCTGAAGGTATCTTAGTGAGACAAGTGTCTCTGTTGGTAGATTTTAGCTGAAGGTATCTTAGTGAGACAAAGTGTCTCTGTTGGTAGATTTTAGCTGAAGGTATCTTAGTGAGACAAGTGTCTCTGTTGGTAGATTTTAGCTGAAGGTGTCTTATTGATACACGTGTCTCTGTTGGTAGATTTTAGCTGAAGGTATCTTAGTGAGACAAAGTGTCTCTGTTGGAGATTTTAGCTGAAGGTATCTTAGTGAGACAAAGTGTCTCTGTTGGTAGATTTTAGCTGAAGGTATCTTAGTGAGACTAGTGTCTCTGTCTGTTGGTAGATTTTAGCTGAAGGTATCTTAGTGAGACTAGTGTCTCTGTCTGTTGGTAGATTTTAGCTGAAGGTATCTTAGTGAGACAAAGTGTCTCTGTTGGTAGATTTTAGCTGAAGGTATCTTAGTGAGACAAGTGTCTCTATTGGTAGATTTTAGCTGAAGGTATCTTAGTGAGACAAAGTGTCTCTGTTGGTAGATTTTAGCTGAAGGTATCTTAGTGAGACTAGTGTCTCTGTCTGTTGGTAGATTTTAGCTGAAGGTATCTTAGTGAGACAAAGTGTCTCTGTTGGTAGATTTTAGCTGAAGGTATCTTAGTGAGACAAGTGTCTCTATTGGTAGATTTTAGCTGAAGGTATCTTAGTGAGACAAAGTGTCTCTGTTGGTAGATTTTAGCTGAAGGTGTCTTATTGAGACACGTGTCTCTGTTGGTAGATTTTAGCTGAAGGTATCTTAGTGAGACAAAGTGTCTCTGTTGGTAGATTTTAGCTGAAGGTATCTTAGTGAGACAAGTGTCTCTGTTGGTAGATTTTAGCTGAAGGTGTCTAAGTGAGACAAGTGTCTCTGTTGGTAGATTTTAGCTGAAGGTATCTTAGTGAGACAAGTGTCTCTGTTGGTAGATTTTAGCTGAAGGTATCTTAGTGAGACAAAGTGTCTCTGTTGGTAGATTTTAGCTGAAGGTATCTTAGTGAGACAAGTGTCTCTGTTGGTAGATTTTAGCTGAAGGTATCTTAGTGAGACAAGTGTCTCTGTTGGTAGATTTTAGCTGAAGGTATCTTAGTGAGACAAAGTGTCTCTGTTGGTAGATTTTAGCTGAAGGAATCTTAGTGAGACAAGTGTCTCTGTTGGTAGATTTTAGCTGAAGGTATCTTAGTGAGACAAGTGTCTCTGTTGGTAGATTTTAGCTGAAGGTATCTTAGTGAGACAAGTGTCTCTGTTGGTAGATTTTAGCTGAAGGTATCTTAGTGAGACAAGTGTCTCTGTTGGTAGATTTTAGCTGAAGGTATCTTAGTGAGACAAGTGTCTCTGTTGGTAGATTTTAGCTGAAGGTGTCTTATTGAGACACGTGTCTCTGTTGGTAGATTTTAGCTGAAGGTATCTTAGTGAGACAAAGTGTCTCTGTTGGTAGATTTTAGCTGAAGGTATCTTAGTGAGACAAAGTGTCTCTGTTGGTAGATTTTAGCTGAAGGTATCTTAGTGAAACAAGGTTTCTGACTTTCCTATACGCATAAAGACGCATCTTACAAGCAAATAAAAGGTAGATAATTACTGTTTGTAAATCATGCGAAGGTTATTTTAACGAGCCGTGTTAGGCCTGTTAAAAATGTGTATTGTAAGAGAATCGTTTTACTATGGGGAAGTAGGGCAGCAACAGCCACAAGCTTTAATTCACAAAACACGCTCTAAGTCACAGTGCTTAACACCCAGTCTCTATGCAGAGGAGAGAAAAAGGAATAATTAAATGAATATCAATCATTTGTCTAAATCCGATACTGCCAACTTCGACTGAAACCATCAATATTTTTAGTTTGTTCAGCATGTATTGACCTGTTATGATGTTTCTTTTATAATAAACTGGGAATATAAGGATCGATAACTCCACTTAAGACTTGAACTTGAAGGGATTTTCTCCCCTGAGTTTATCAAAGTGGTCAATATAAACTAATCAAATCAGAGACACACACACACACGAACAAGTAAAAAAAAATATTGACCTTTTATATAACATGGATTAAACCAACATATTGAATTCTCGACCAAGGGAAACTAAACTGAAACTACGCAGTTTACCGGGAAAGTTTAACATGCTTGAGCTGTGGTAGTCCACAAATAATCTCGTCACTTTCACGGGCTATCTATTTAGGTAATAGATGAATAGATGGGGGCAGGGGAGAGCATGTTGGAGGGTGTTGTGGTGGGGGGGGGGGGTGGGTTGTTCGTCTCGCCGTTGGTTACTAGTTGCACCGTTGGTTTACTATTTGGTTAATACAGTAGCCCCGTGTATCAAGTGAAATATCATGACGGCTCCTTTCTACTGGTTTCATGATTTAGTAATAGGAGAGGGAGGGGGGGATGGGTTGTAAGGCTCGGCTGCCTACTGTTCTTTTAACAAATAAAAAATTTATTGATCGACATTTTGTGTCTCTGTTATGTGATATTGTTGTTGTAACATTACACTTGTATGTTTTTGGTATACAGACTTGTATACTATACATAGACCCTGTATGCCTGTTTCAAGTATGCAAATACTGTGGTAGTGTTGTCAAGATATTGTGATAATGTCAAAATATTGTGCTAAGAGAGTTAGTGGGGTTTGAGATTTTTTTTGGATAGGCCTGGGCTAGGTATGGTGCGAGGATGACGTGAGTGAAGTGGGGATGGCGTATGAAGCAAGACCATGACGTAGTAGAGGCATGAATTGTATTGATTCGATTGCATGAATTCTTTGAAAATTTTAGATTTTGACGACTAACATATATTGACAACTATGTTTTTCTTTCACCACTAAAAGTATCAAACGTGGAGTGTTTAATTTTTTAGAATTGAGTTTACAAAAAAAAAGTCTTTACAAAATTCACTTAAATAAATGGCTTGTTAAAATGCTAAAGTATGACGTCACACGTTCCTTCCCCCCCCCCCTTGTAATAAAAATCTGAAACTCTTCTGCCACTTCTTAAGTTAAAGACGAATCCTAATCAGTAGTTATTTATCTGTTAGAAATATTTCTAACTTTTGTATGGCTTTATATTCTTTGCGTTTATTCTATCATAAGCCATTTCAACATGAACAACAGTTCTATTAATGCTGTTATCGACAAAGCTATTCAAACAGAAAACATACAATGATAGATCTGCATCCACACGATAGTACAGACTATATTTTGTATGTGTGTTTGTGTGTGTGTGTGAGGGGGTGCACTCCGAATAGAGGCCTGAAAGAATATCTGTTATAAACTATTGTAACTGTTGTAGCCTATATAACCTTCATAAGACTAAAGTAGTTGGATTTTAATTACATTTCATTGAAGCTGTTGTTCTCAAGACTGTATGATACAAAATAAACTAGTACAGCAACCCCTTTACATAAAGATCCACAGGGCAGATGAAGTAGAGTTCATTTGAAGGGATGGTGTCCTCACCACTATGCTCAGCTGCCTTTATATGTCTAACATGAGTCGGGTACCCATCAGAGCTGAGTGGACTCAGGGACGTTACATTTACGAGTACGCACGGGCATTGTAATTCGAGACCTTCGTACAAGCAGTCGAGCTCTCTATCCCACGGCCATGCAGTCCTTAAATTTGGATAATGTCTGAACATGCTTTGCTGGCACTACGGGGTTATCTCCCCGTCTAGTGCAAGGCTGATTTATCCGTCTCTTTTATTACCACGATATCTCAATCCTAGTCCACTTTCCACACACACATTTTTTTAGCATATGAAAATAAAATTCCCAAATATTACGACTTTGTCCCTATGGTTTTAAAAAAAACCGAACTCTGTCCCAATTATAATGTGTGAGAGTAGCAACAAAACTGATGCTGTAATCGTTACCCAATTGTGTAAGCTGAGAAAAAAGAATAAAACTCCACTAGACTAGGCTGACAAACAAACAAAAAGAATAAAACTCCTCTTGACTAGGCCGACTAACAAACAAAAAGATAAAACTCCACTAGACTAGGCCGACTAACAAACAAAAAGATAAAACTCCACTAGACTAGGCCGACTAACAAACAAAAAGATAAAACTCCACTAGACTAGGCCGACTAACAAACAAAAAGATAAAACTCCACTAGACTAGGCCGACTAACAAACAAAAAGATAAAACTCCACTAGACTAGGCCGACTAACAAACAAAAAGATAAAACTCCACTAGACTAGGCCGACTAACAAACAAAAAGATAAAACTCCACTAGACTAGGCTGACTAACAAACAAAAGGATAAAACTCCACTAGACTAGGCTGACTAACAAACAAAAGGATAAAACTCCACTAGACTAGGCTGACTAACAAACAAAAGGATAAAACTCCAGTAGACTAGGCTGACTAACAAACAAAAGGATAAAACTCCACTAGACTAGGCCGACTAACAAACAAAAGGATAAAACTCCGCTAGACTAGGCTGACGAACAAACAAAAAGTTGATGGGAAAAAAGTTGTGTTAGAGCATATCTCACGTGACTAGTGCCATCCTCTATCAAGGCATATGAGAATCGTATGAGTCTGTTCATGGCTTAGAGATTGTGCATCTTTTATATAACAACAACTCCACAACTTAACATAATGTTATGCAACATTTGCAAAGATATCGACTCTATCAAATCAAATCTATAAATCACCCCCACCCTCTGAACTAGAAAAAGTTTGGAACATTTTAATTATGTAACTGTTTTGTATGTAGATCTTTAAATGTTTTTAAAATAGTTAAACATGGGCAATAATATAACGTTGCATTGGAATTGAGTAGCAGAAATATAATAAAAAAACCAGATGGTTAATCAATGTAATCAGACTTTTGATCACCACCACCCCACTATACACAACACGATGAACTGTGAAGCCTGTTATTTAATATAGTATGTATCTGCACTAACCAAATAATGCAAGATCATGCATTATCCACAAACATCAATGTAAGTCTTTCTTATTATTTTAATAAACAAAATTTATTTGATACACATATAATTCAAAGTAATTGCATTCCATAAAAAATAAATCACCACAGCTTATTACAATCCAGAACTGAGTTACATAAAAAATGAACAAAATTATTCTAACAGTAAAATCATTCTTTCTATTACTAAAAATCATTACCAGTACACGGGTCAATTTTTTTTTTATACCTTTGCTTGTCTCCCCCTTGTGAATATCCATAATTTTCATGTTATAAAATCTATTGCTAATTTTTTGATGATTTTGTGGTAACCTTTTTAACACTACTCACTTTCCCCAACTACAATTATTTTCTATGTTTGGACATCCATTTCATAATAGGACAAAAAAAGTGAGACAAAAACCGATTCCACTCATGAAAAACTCGAGTGCCACACCATAAAAACACAGGTCAAGATTGGTTTCTGTCCAGAAAGTTTATGTTAACTGTGCCGGGGGTTCTGACAAGTTGAGACTGTGAAACTGGTTGACCAAATCAACATGGGCCTGAGTTAGGAACGTCTGGTCATCTTTAGACTCACTGATATGGGAAAACAAAAAAAAATTGTTTTCTATAAACAAAGTATGTACATTTTTTATTAATCTGTTTTCAAATTCTTCAGAATAGCTGATTTCTAATTTGATGTTTAATCTTTAAAAATCTAAAAATAAACAATAGTTTTGAAATGTGTGTAAATAAAAACCTATTTCTTAATAAAAAATGATAGTGATTACTGTTAGCCTTGACATTAGTATAATTGACTAAATGTGCAACATTTTTTTTGTCGGGTGAAATGTGAAGACATAAATAAAATGTGAAGACAGATAAAAAATGTGAAGACAGATAAAAAATGTGTAGACAGAAACAAAAAGTGCAGGGCAGGAACAACATTTCTTTTGTCTGGTGAAATGTGAAGACAGAAACAAAATGTGAAGACAGAAACAAAATGTGAAGACAGAAACAAAATGTGAAGACAGAAACAAAATGTGTAGACAGAAACAAAAAGTGGAGGGCAGAAACAAAATGTGAAGACAGAAACAAAATGTGAAGACAGAAACAAAATGTGAAGACAGAAACAAAATGTGGAGACAGGAACAAAATGTGGAGACAGGAACAAAATGTGGATAACATTAACAACATTTCTTTTGTCTGAAGAACCCACCTGTTTTCTCCCTGTGTGATACTCAGTGGCTGATCCTCTTTTGTGTTGATACCTGGCAGGGGAGACAATTTATGCTGACTCTTATTTCCATTCATTTTTGCAAAGAGATATCTTAACACTCTTTCTTTTTGCTCCCAGGTTAAATCACTGATGTCAACTCTTCCACTAGTGCCATACCTGGTGGAGGGACACAAAAAGGTTGGAGATTAGAATTTGTTGTATTGTGTGTTAAATGTATGAACAAATGGCTGAACAAAATCTAAACGACCAAGCAGATTAAAGAGTGAATTTTGAGTAGTAATGTGATGACAATATTTGGTCCTATTTGGTTAAATATTTGAAGCAAGCAAAGATTAAATTGTTCAGTATAATAAAATGTGAACACTTAAAAAGACAGCAAGAGTGCTTTTGTTATTAATGAAACAAATGTTCATAGTGAGAGCTTGCATTAAAAAAACATCAAGTTGAAATTATTGTTAATGTAGACACTACTTACTTTTCCATCAACTTCTTCCTGGTTTCGTTAGTGTGTAAAATAAAGTGTGTTTGTTAGGATTAAATTTTGCAAACTGTACAAACTGTACAAACTGTACAATAATTAAACAGAAAGGAGACTAATCTATGTGCAAAATACACTACTTTGTGTGGAAATGACACATCAATATAGATATTGAGTTTACATGGTGTAGGCCTATTTATGTAAACACATGTATTACATTTATGAAACATAAACAAAGAAACAACTAGCTTTGAATAACAAAATGATCTGATTCAAAAAATTTTTTTTCATATGACTAAATTTTGGCAGGAAATAATTTTCTTAACATGTTACTTTCTCAAAAATGATTAAAATGAGAACAACTTAATTGTCAAATGGTAATTAGTAAAGATACTATATTTATTATTTTAGCAATATTATACATTTATTTATACAAGTATTTTGCTATTTTGGTTTATCCATAATAAAAAAATTAAAAACAAAACTAATCTACCAAAGACAGTATTAATACAAAAAAAATATTTCTGAATTCTAAAAAAAAAAGAATAATATGTTTCCTTTTTATTCCAAGTGAAATATATGGTGGTAGCTACTGCTATAGGAGTTAACACAGATGTGAGTAGTATTAGTTAACTTAGCTCAGATGTAAACAGTAGTATTAGTTAACTTAACACTGATATAAGCAATGGTATTAACAGTTTTAAAACTGTGTAACACATTCTCTTAATCAATAGGTAAATGAAAGTTTCATTAAAATAGTAATATAATCTCTCAAAAGTTTATCAATCTATATCCGCTTACATTAATATCAGTTATAATTATATTGATATAAATATCAATTAATAATTATGTTGAAAAATTATCAATATATAATTATATTGACATAAATATCACTTATAATTATGTTGACATAAATATCAGTTGTGTTGAGATAAATATAAAAAAAAAACTTACAACATCTCAGCAGCCTCAATATCTCTAAAAACACTGTTTGTGCTGTGCTCCATTTGATTGAATGTCCGAATTTTTGGGAAGTCACTTTTTCCAGCATGGGCAGCCAACATTTTTTGTTGATAAGCAATTCTTGCATCTTTCCTATATTGTGCTCTAATTAAAATAACACACCAACAGATTTAGCAAAAATAACTATTATGTTTTTACTCAATGAACCAAAACAAAGTAGGCCTGATTTAGTAGAGTCAACAAGCATTTTTTGAGAAAAAATAAATAAAAGCTTGCATGCAGAAATGACAGGAGAAAAGATAGCATTGATTTTAATTTAGTAAAATACATACATGAATATTCAATAAAGTTAATGATAAAATAAACTTGTAATTAGAAAGTATAGGTCATACACAAATGAAATGTAAGAACATTTTCAAAAAAAAAGTGATTAAGTGAGTTCATTTAGAAAATAAATTACTGAGTGATTTTATTAAAGTTCTCAGTAATATACTTATTGTGAAAAAGTGAAAATTGTGGCTAGTGTATGATTAAGAAAATAGTGACAAATATTTAAATGATTACATAAGACATTTGACTGTGAAACAACAGAAATCACATACAAACCCTCAGTTTACTCCTAGTCATTCAGCAGGAAAAAAAATCAATTTTAATACAAATGTTAAAATAAGCTGTTCAAACTAAGAAAGACAGTTCATTGAATTCATTCCTAACTGTTAATCATTATAGACAGGTTCACCCATGCTTCATCTACTAGAATACAATTTAAAACTAATATAACCCATACAATTCCAATAATAGTTAAGTTAAACTAAGTACAAAGTTGAACTTTTAGCCAGATTTAAAAAAAAAATCCTGAATATGGCCTACTCACTGATTGGCTGCTACTTCGGCCTTCACCTGTTCCAGGCTTACAAGGAAAAATCTCTCCAGTTCTGTTCTCTCATCTAGGATATTTTTTGCTAACCGCTTTACTTTGTTCATTTCACGTGTTTTTAATTCAATTGTTCTCTGCAATTTAACTATTTCAACTTTTGCTGCTTCATTTTCTATCTCTCCTCGCTGAATAATTGCTTTTTTTTCTGTTTCAAACTCACGTACAATATGACTCAAAGATTTCTCCAACGTTTCAATCTTTTCATTTAGCTATATGGAAAGATGGAAATTTTAATTTTTTTTTTTTTAATTATCAATTCAGCAATGTATTAGCTACTAATCAAGAAAATGTTACAAATAAAATCATATAACTTATAATATACACACAAAACTATATAGGCAGGACATGTGATTAAAATATTTTACAACTAAATATATTTTCTAGAACAATTTCTTTACACTTACTTTTATTCATAAAATGTAACATTCTATAAATGAGATTAAAAGTCATACAATATATTTAAACTTCCTTACTAAGTGTAGTTGGCTAATTTAGGTAGATTAAAAGTTTATGAAGGTTTAGATATGATGCAACCAAAAAATCTGTAATTTAAAAAACATAGGTTTAATTACATTTATTCTTAATGAAAACATTAAATGTACCTGTTTTATTTTGTCTTTTTGATTCTTAACTTGTGCAACCTTTTCTTTTACCATCAAATCTTTAACTTCCCTTTCTTCTATCAAAGTTTCATTCTCTGCCAACAGTCTATCTCTCTCCTTTTTCAAAAGATCTCCTTCTTTCATGTGATAGTTCAGAGACTCTGTTAGTCGAACATTTTCCTTGTACACTGACTTGGTAGTTTCATCAAGGTTTCTTTAATTAAATAAAAAAACATCTTATGTATATCACTTTTATTTCATGATCCTATAATTTCATTTCTAAAGGCAAAAGGTGAATCAATTTTAAATATGCAATTTTCACAGTAAATTGTGTTTACCCTATGGCCTCTGTGTGAGCTTTCTCTGCCAATTCTGCTATTTTTTGATTAGCTTCTTGTTGAAGTCTCATCTGCATATGATTCAATTTTTTAAAATTTCATAATAGTGGAAAAGAATGAAAACATTACTAGATCTAACAGCAATTTGAAAAACACCAAAGCTGATTGTGTTGTAGCTTGTTAAGTAAGCTTGAAAAAGTATTACATATGATATACGTTCGTTAGAATAAAATTTAGAGGAATATAACTTAAATTTTTTATATTTAAAGGAGTTCATATTTTTGTATTGAATGATTTTATTCTTTAGATTACCTTTTCTTCAAAAAACTTTTGTTCCATACGACCAGTGGTAGCCTTGTGTTCTCTGCTAGCATTATGCATGGCTTCTTTGATCTAAGATTTAAAGCAATTTATAATGTAATAAACATGCTTTCAAACCAATGAAATATTTCATTCTCCCCTCCGCCTCCAGTGATTCTTTTAAACATCAACATAAAATTGAAAAGTATTAAGTTAAACCTTTCTTATAACTGTCCGCCCACAACCCCGTATTTGCAACATTATTTAATACTAGACTATCTTTTTACAATGCAAAACTGATTACATTCATTTTGATTTCATTCAAGTTGTATAGTAGGAGTATTTACAGTAAATTAAATAGATCATTATTACATTTTTTTTAATGCAGTTGAGATACAACAATAAGAAACCAATACAATAGCATTTCCAAACAACACATTATGAAGCACTGTGTATAAAAACTTACATCTTCCAGATCTTTCTGCATTTGCCCTCTTTTTCTTCTAAACTCTTTGACCAATTTGAGCTCATTATGCATTAGATCAACCTCCCGTATCTTCTCACCAAGTTTTGTCTCTAGCTCATTAATCTGCTTACTAAAGTCTTCAATGATACTCTCTTTTTCTTTTCTTTGTTCTTTCTTGAGGTCTCGAATCTGATGCTGTAGCTGCTCTAACTAATGGGATTGTAAAACTTAGATATAATCCAGTTTAAAGAGTAAAATGTTCATAGCAGGCCTAAAGCTAGTTATGGAGATTGCTTTAGCCAATAACAGTCAATGGAAAAAAAAAAGATTAAATTATTAAAAATTCTCTTTTAAATGCATTTCAGAATCTATAAGCTTTTAGCATACTTGAGACTCTTTATCTTGATCCTGCTGTTTAAGATATGTAATAACATCAATGGTGTCTCGCTCTGTCTGAAACATCTGAGTTTGAAGTGCATCATTTTCTAACATCAACTTTTTTGCAGTATCTCTGTTTAAAATATTTAATTAAATACTTTACCTAAATATATAAGCTAAAACACAAATGACATAAAATGAAAATAATAATTTGTTAAGCATTTAAAGAGAATATTAATTTCTTGTGTAAAGACAAATTAAATGATAAATTCCATAATTATTTGATCATACCTATATTCTTGTTTTGATCGCTCGGAAATTTCAAGTCTTGTTTCCCAAACTTTTGAATTAGCTGCTGCCAATGCAACTACTGATTCTTTTTTCTCTTTTCCCATTCCCTTTTTTCTGTAAAAAGATTTTAATTATGCTAATTCAATAAAAAAAAAAACAACAACCAATTTTAGCTTTTTCTGTATAAACTATAATTACTAATGTACTTAATCATCCTTGTGTTAAAGAATCCAGATTAAAATTAAGAAACTGGATATTATAAATGCAAGTTATCCGAATATAATTTGATGTGTTTCCTTTGGCATCTCCTGATGATTTTCCAAACCCATGTGATTTGTCATCGGAATTGTGTGGGATGTCCACCTGCATGTCAAGAGTAATGGTTCTATTGTGATGTCCAATGACATGCCTGATCTCAACTTTAGACAGAAATCATCCTGCCGCTGTGTGTCTGACTATATTGTTAAGAGTTCGACTATGTATTCACAGAAGGATTTAACCGTGTTTGACATAACTGAGTTAGAACTGGGGATGATGACAATCACATGTGTGATTCTGAGTTGTGTACATACTGGTGTGATACTCCCATGTATATATATTGTTCTATATCAGAACAATGAATTAATGTTAGTAGCTATGGTGAATAATTTCCCAGTTGAAATGTAAGTTTGATTTTTTTGTTTTTTGGCTTGTATTAGAATTGTCAAGTGATGTTTTCTTGAATATGAAAGTCGGGCATTGTATTTGTATTGTTTTCATTGCTTTTAAACATGTAAACCAATGTGACATCTAATAAATGTAAATTAATAATTGATGTATTGGACTGTATGAAGTGTGTGTTAAGTTTTAATATTAGCTTAGCACCAGTGTTTAGGTAGCCATTAGTTTGCTCAGGTTTGGTCAACCTCCTTATCCCAAGGATGATGCACAGATGGGTGACTATACTATCACCATCCACCCAGCAATCCCTTAACTCGGTAAGTCAATAATTTAATATTTTATTTCATGAAAAGAGTAGGCCTATGTGCTATGGTCTATTATTATCTATAGTACTATAGAGTATAGTCTATAGTCTTGATACTCTACTCTATACTATACAGTTATACTAGTTTAGTAGCATAAACTAATGAGACTGTAATAGTATTAGTAACTAACTATTAAATACTAAATAGTAGTAGTAGGTAGATCAATTTAGATCATCTATAATTACTATGATTCTAATACTCTACTATAGTATAGGGTATACCGTATCTCTTAAAATAATATTAATATTAGGCCTAGTACTATAGTACTAGTAGTTACTAGTTACTACTAGATCTAGTAGTAGTAGTTCCTATAGTTATAGTATATTATTCTAAGACCTAAGTAATAAGTATATTAGTATATTATATATTAATATATATTAATATTTTTTTTTATATAGGCCTATTGATTGAATATTGTTATAATTTATTTTATGCTTATGCCATGCCCTTATTTTATAATTGCCTTAATATTGGCTCTTAGTATAGCATATACACATAATACAGCTTACCCTTTCTTTCCCTTTTTCCCCTTCTTTCCCTTTCCCTTCTTGCCTTTCTTCGGCATTCTGAGAAAATAAACTTATTAGAATCTTTTTAATTAATGTTTTTTTTTCACAAAGTATTACTATAAGATATCATTTCCGCCATTTACGTTGTTGCTAGGTTATACAAGCTTTTTTTTTTATTGGTTGGATTGGATCATTTAATCGACGATAATACCCCGATTTTAAAATCAGTACATTAATTTATCAAACAATAAATTTTATTACATCTATATTTTAATATTTTAGTTATAATAAAATATTAAACTTGCAACTGTATATTAATAATATATTTGATTTTCTTATAAAAATCTAGGTCTATAAAAAGTATATCAAAACCAGCTTTCTGAAATCATGAAACATTTGCTGACTTATCCCCCTTGGACCAAGTAAATGTTGTTTAATTATATTATAAAATACCATAGTATGGAATGGATAGACTATTAATTTACTATTAAATTATTAGTATTATAGAATAGAATGAGATATAATTCATTATAGAATACCATAATTATAACTAAAACTATAGATCTATTTCTATATAGAGTCTAGTAAACATACACAAGGTAATCCAATCTATCGTTTTAGGTGCGTAAAATCGGCCGAGGCTTAGGTACTTTACTACTTTAGGTAGTCAAGTCAGTTTTGAGTTTAGCCTTAGGAAATTTAGGTAGATCTACAGTAATCTACACTAACGTAAAATCGGCAGAGTTTAGATCTAGAATCTAGTAGTGTGGAAAAAACGTGACTTTAAACTTTAAATTTTAGTAGGCCTGTTACTACTTATTTCACATTTCTAGGAGGATTTAGGGCCTTTAAGCCTATGCTAAAACTAAATGCTTTGAAAGAATGAAAGCTACAAAAATGTTTCAAAGTTTCATTCACCTACCTGTTTTTATAGTTTTAAGGGTAGGAATGTTGGGATATTTTTCCTAATTATCATAGAATGATAAAATGTACACAGATTAATCCTATAATATAGCTAGTCTCATAACGCGAGTTGAATTACCTCCCCTGACCCGCTTTTTTATGGCCACTTTCTAGTTCGTTTTTTTCGATCGCGTCTCGGCACTGTTGCTAAAAATAGCATTCGCGCAATACCATACGGGTAAATCTGTTTGGCGTCTGCTACACGTGATAGATCGTTGAATGGCCGACAAGCTGATATAAAAATTATTGCGACCGGATGCGATTTTCGTGGAAATTGAGCTAGATTTAGCAAAAGACAGCTATATTTGTGTAAAATATTATTATTTATACTTCTACTTACACAGATATTTTGATAACTGCAGTTCAGCCGTCCATTTTTCTTTTAAAATGTATCTTTAGAATTTCTGTACCTTTTGGCAATCGGTCAGGAGCATTTGCGCACTAAACCCACCCCCCTACGGCAGATCCGATTTTTTCCCCAGTGAACTCGTACTGACCTCCCACATAGCTAAGATAGTACATTGATACTGATGGGAAAGCCTCTAAATCTGTATTCCTACTATACTAGAGATCTAGAAATAAATCTAGATCATGGAGTTTTTATAATGACTTTAAATTGAATGTCTCCAGTTTAAGATATTTTTTTTTCAAAACATAGCTACTTTTAGTACTGTATTTAAGTATTTCAAACCCTTTTGGTAGTTTTTTCTTAAACTTAGACCTAGATCTAGTGATTAGATATCTATATTTTGTACCTATAACTTGCAGGCCTATTAAAATAATAATAAAACAGTTTGCTTGATAACTTCATTAGGTCTTTCATAAACACAAATGTTATAAACATATAAAAATCACAAAACCATAGGTAATATCTGAATTCTGTAGCCTACCTTACATTTAGGCTAATACTGAATTAAAAAGAAATTACATTAAGGTTTGAAATTAATACAACTTGTAATTAAGAAAGAAAGCTTCAATTCTAAACACTACAAGATATAATAACAAACAATGAAACAAATTCAAAGCTTTTTTCAACCCATTTAGTCGAAAAGATTTTTATTTTTTCCGATATTGACCAAAATAAGTTTTTAAAGCTTAGGCCTAATGTTTTTACAAACATAACTCAATTTTATTAGGCCCCTGTAAACATTAAGATTCCTCTGTAGACAAAGCAATCTATTTGGCAGATGAAGTAGAGTTCATGTTTCTTGACCTCGGCATATGAAGTGATTGTCCGTGTGGTCAGCGATATTCACAGCCGCCTTTACTTTTTACCTTTAATTTCCCCAATGTATATCAGGTACCCATCAGAAATGGGTGGACTCTAATTGAATTTTATTAAACAAACATTTTGATATAGGCCTAGATCTATAATCTATAACATTCCAAACAACATCTGTTCTGTAGAATTTACCTTTCTGCTTCCAAATGCGGTATTTTCCAATTGAAAATTCATCACAAAACATACAATAAATTATATAAATGGCATTTTATAAATTTATATAAACTATTTACTTTCACCTTGGTGTAAAAAAATGTAGGTATAAGCAAACTGATTTCAATAGTAAGAAAGAATCATGTCTTTTCTTGCTTACTAGCTTTAAAACAAGTGAATTTGACTTTTTACCTGCGTTTTTGGTCGCGTTTCTATATATTTTATTTGCGACACTAAAAAAATTATATTTAATCAACCGATTATGCTAAATTAATAAAATTGGTACTGTTGGAATGCATTTTTAAAGCTCTACCATTATATGCTATTCTTTTTATAATTTGAAGAAAATTGAATTTATATGAGACTAACTATATAATATACCCCATTGATAAAAATACCAAATTTATCATGCTAGGCCTAATAGTTTTTTTTATATGAATTTTTAAAGTTATGTATTAAACTTGTTATATATCACTGTAACATCGGATTTAATTGTGTGATTGGCTTTAGGCTTGCATACCACTGCTGCTATTTGAGATAAAATTATAAAACTTTGCACATTAGTGCTAGAGAGTGTGGGCAATAGAAATATGAAAGTAAAATCAAAATTTGATGAAGGATAATTAGAACTAATCAGGTCAAATTAAAGTGAGGGGTGCTGTTCTAATAGTTCTATATAGGTCAAGATGCAGACTGAAAGTCTGTTTTTTTTTTAATATTAAAATTGAAACTTTGCTAGAGGGTGGGGGTAAGAGAAATATAGAAAAAAATTAGATTAAGTATGACTGCATATAATTAAAAAGTCCTATGAAAGGGTGTTGCACCCTTTTATAGTAATTATAGTGACTGCAACAGATGTATGTCCAGAATGCTACTATAATAGATAGGATAAATTTGGTGATTGATACTGAAGCATGTAATAAGAAGAATGCTGAAAAATAAAACTAGGGATGGTGTGGTAAAGCACTCAACTACTAACATGCAAGTCTTAAGCTCAGATCTCAGACAAGTCTGTCTGTGCAGCGCGCAGCATCCACCTAGCTCAGATGAGTACCTGACACAAGGGAAAGTAAAGATAGCTTGGCAGAGAGCTAACCACACCATCACTTCATGTTCAGTGGTCAAGAAACAGATAAACTCTACTTCAGCTGCTCTATGGATGATGGATTGACAGGTCAAAAAGGGAAACTACTTTAATATACTAGGGTCTTTACCAGGCCCTATTGATATTATTATTTTGGTACAACTAATCAATAGAAAAACCTTAAATTCTTGTAAAAGTTTATTAAATGTTAAGTAAGTTGTACCACATCAGAAGTTACAGCTTCCCTGTCTATCTGCTTATATGAATATATTGGCAATATGCTGTGATTTAAATACGTAATGTTTGTTGTATTTGTTTTTTGTTACTTTTTATTATTAAATGTAAAAATTGTATCCTAAATTATTATGAATAATAACTATCATGCCTTTTTCATGTCATTCTAAATTCACTGCCTTATTAATTAGTATCCCCCCCCCATGTCAATTGCTGCGCCTTTTGTTTATTATTTAGATCTACTATTTACTAATGTCATAGGCATAATTATCACAAATAATTAATTAAGTTTATCACCAAGCTTCTTTACTTATCATAACCAATAATAGGCCCAGACTTACTTTATCAATCGATACATATTACATATAGCATTAGTTATACTAAGAAATAGGCCTATAACTTATTTATTATTTATAAATGTAGATATAGTATAAAGTAGGCCTATAGTTTAGTATTAACTTAATTAATAATTAAGTATAAGCCTTAAATCTAAGTAGGTATGTGTGAAATGCTTAACACTAGTTAATGTAAGCCTAAGCTTCTTGTCTGTCGTTTTTAATAGATAACTTGATCAATGTATTTTATCTAGTTTTAACAGTGCCACCCACAATTTAAATTCTTTCCAACTTCGAAAACTACGTCATTGGCATTAGTGCGCGTATTTTATCGATAATAGGTAGTGCGGTGCCAAACGGACGCCATGGCGTTGTCAAGGCTGAAGCGCTAGCTCGGGGATTTGACATGTATGATAACTCGTAAACAGAAGTAGTAAGTGCCATAAAACCGTTATTATAATAATATTTGTTTATTTAATGGACACTTACAACTAATGGCAAGACACTTATAATGTGTTTAATACGTAAACTTATTTAAAATGTGACAGCACCGTACGGGACATGTTCGCGAGATAAACTCTTTAGAATCGTGCGATCGATTTCGGCTTTAAGATTGTCATAATGGCGATGATTTTCTAATTGAAACATATAATACGTCTACACTAGAATATCTATATCGAATATTTCTAAAAACTCGATTCCAACAGTGAGATTCGGCATTCTTCGGAAAAGGGCGAGTTTTTATAAAGTCTGCATCAAAAAGTCCGGATGTGGAATACCGAATCGAAACAGCGGAAGTCGGAATGCCTATTTTAAGGGGCCATCCATAAATTACGTCACACTCGGGGGTGGGGAGGGGGGGTCCATAATTTTGTGACGATGTGTGATGAGGGGGAGGGGGGAGGTTCAGATGGTGTGAAGTCACTTTTTTGCATTATTAAAAAGCAATGTTAGAAGACGAGTTTTAGCCGTTATTTTGCGTTTTAGAAGACGGTTTTAATTGATCAAACTACTATATGTTGACGGAGTTCTGACAAGATTTTGGAAAAATATAGATCTTTTAAGAAAAATTCAACAGCAATTTTTAGGGGGGGGGGGGTCATAGGCTGAGGTGTGACATCATTTTAGGGGGGGGGGGGCTGGCTGTTTGTGGCAATGTGTGACGAAGGGGAGGTAAAATTCATTAAAAAATGCGTGACGTCATTTATGGATGACCCCCAAACAATTTTATTAAAACTTTTCAGTAATAAATAATAAATAAAGACTAGCGATGTTTTCATCACATGCAACCAAGCACATTTACTTTATTTTTGGTAAAATATAAAAGCCTTAACAATGAGGCAACTTTTTCCCACATTACTGCCTCGGCCGATTTTACGCACCTAAAACGATAGATTACCAAAAGTTGCCTCATTGTTATTTGTTAAGGCTTTAATAATAGAAGTATATTGATATATTGTGATAAATTTGTGATCATTTTTATTTTATAGTCTACCTCTACTCTAACAGTTGTAAGTCGTTATTTTACTAAAATAACTTTTAATTATGAAATGATTACAATTAGCTAGACTATAAGATTATAAGGTACACATTTTTAGTAATGGAAAAGTTGGGTAGTGCAGATGTAGATCCAGATCCAGAGTTAGACTCAGCATCTGTTAGGACTAGTTTAAATTACTAAATTTAGGCCTATAAATTATTGCTGCTGTGTGGTGTTAGACTGTTAGTTGACTGTAGTAGTCATAATTTAACATTACAGGATAAACCCCATAAATAAAAAATATGTAGGGCCTATATGGTATCAAGTGATCGAAATCGACATTAAAAATAGGCCATCATCATTATAAAAAACTATTATTTTTGTGGATGCCCACAATTATTTTACTAATACTAACCACACCATAATTGTATGCTAACCCTTACTTTCTAAATTGATAGTATGGCTGATATTAAATTACTACTACAAATCCTATCCCTTCCTTTAGGCAGCGTAATAACATAATGGATGAAAGGAACATAGAGACCATCAACAACAGACCTGAATCTGGAGATGCTTGCGTTAACTTCATCAACTCAAAGTGTATTATCTTGGCTGTGTTAGTTGTTGCCTTAACACTGTTCAGTGTCACTAAAATCACAGGCTACAATCAGTCAGAACAATCTGTTGAAGATGTGTATTCAGTTGTGTTTGATGCAGGAAGCACAGGATCAAGAGTGTTTGTCTTTCATTTTCATTACTTAATCAGAGGTAGGCCAATATTCAATCTCTTCAAATGCCAAACTGAAACATTATTAGACACTAAACAGTTGAAACTTTTTCTCAGTTTTATTCAATTTTGTGTTACATTGTCAGAAATTTAGTGCTGTCATATGATTACAGGGACAAACAAATATAAAGTCACTTTGGAAAAGGAAGTTTTCCAGTCAGTAGAACCTGGAATCTCATCTTATGCTCATAAATTGTTTGAGGTTATTTAATTTATTCAAAAACATTTGTAGCTAAGCAGTTTTTTTTAACTAAAAGCTTTAGATTTTAGTTTTAAATGTGAAAAAAAAAGTGATACACATCTTTTTGTGCATGTTTAGGTATCAGAAAGTCTTGAACCGTTGCTGCATAAAGCAGTGAACTCTGTACCAGACAGCTGTAAGGCCAGAACACCAGTTGTATTTAAAGCTACTGCAGGGCTTAGACTACTATCAAAGGAAAAAGCTGAGAATATCTTACAAGAAGTAAGTTGGGCTTTTTAAATCCCTGGTTTTTATAAGGCTGTTTAGTACATAAGAATAAAAAGTGTTGATATAGGGCTTTTTGAAAGATGGGAAAAGGCTAATATTGGGCTGTTTAGAACATGGGAATAAAAGAGCTGATGTGTAGTTATTTATAAGATGGGAATAAAAATATTGTTTGAAATGTTGCTTCTCCAGGTGAGAAGACTTTTGGTCCAGTCTCCCTTTCATTTCCCTGACCCACAGCAGGTGATTGTCATGAGTGGAGAGGAAGAAGGTAGGACTAGTTTTTAGGAAATGTTGGTAATTCAACTTGAATCTTTTACACCAATTTACTTATGAATGTTCTAAATTTTTTAAAAAAGGTAATGGGCTATGTTGTATGTGGTATAATAAAACAATTATTAAACTCTCAAGAAAAAACCCAGGATTAAATAATTATTGTTTTGTTTCTTATATATATTTAAAACATTAATTTCATCGCTGCTATTTACACTATTCAGAACTTCTTTACTTTGACTTATTTTAAAATTATTATCTTCTTCCAAGCCTTGTTTAATAAAAACAAAAAACAACTTGTTCCTCAGGACTTTTTGGATGGGTATCTGTTAACTTTTTGCTAGGTGTGTACATTTTGCTGTTATCCTACCTTTGCTTAATGATTCCTTAGGTAAAATTAGTTTTATTTGGTCTTATCTTTTGGAAACACTGTGGGCCTACTGTGATATTCATGTTGTAATAAGCTGTGGTTCCTTTAATACCATTTGGTAAAGATTGTAATAATTTTCGTGGTTGTTGAACTCTGTAATATTTATATCCAAGGTTAACCAAAACTTTGTGTTAATTTCCTTTAAAAATTGAACAGATTTAATATGGAGCAAACAGCGTGATACAGTAACTACTTTTGATTTAGGAGGTGGCAGCACTCAAATCACATTTGAAATATCCGTAAAGGTATGTTATTGATGTACTTCTACTTGCAATAATCTAAATATTTTGGAAAAACACTTGCAGATATTTTCTTTGTTGGTTATAGTCCCTAGAATTCTATAAATTTCTTAATTTCTTTCCAGATCTAAGTTTTAAATTTTTTTAAAATAATTAAGGAAATGTCCAAAGAGGAAACATCCAAAAACTTGTTTTTGGTCCATGTCAACTATAATGATCTGGACCATCTCTGTTAACTGGGGCAATGCATTTTAAAAAGAAAAAAATCCATTATTTTGTTAATGTATTAAAATTTAATAAGAAGTTTATTTACAGGAGCACCTTAGTGACTATGATATTGAAGATTTATTCAAGATAAATTTTAAAGATTTCCCCGAACGATTCGTCTTCACTAAAAGGTAGTGATTTAAAAATGTAATACAAAGAACAGTAAGACCTTTTTGATTAAATTAAAAAATAAATATAACCTTGGTATGCCAGCTACATTAAGAAAATTGTGTTCATAAACTTTTATTGCTAATCTTAAATTGATGGTTGCCTTACTTAAATTACATTTTCCCTAAATTTTAGAGTGCTCACACATTTGTTCAAGCACTCAAAGCTGAAATTGATCTATTTGAATAGAAACCTAAGAGAGATTTTTGTGTTTCAGTTATTTGACCTATGGTTTGAAGTCAGCCAGACTAGCAGTTCTGGGGGGAACTGAAGGTCAAAATAGCAACATATCATATGGTAAATTGTTTTGTTTTTTTGGCAGAATCAACATACCTTTGGTAAATGCCAGTTTATTATACTACTTGTCCTTAAATTTAACTACTAATTAAATCATTAGTGGTAAAGTCTTGTTTTAACTATTTCTGTAATGATGTGTTTAAACAGAACAAGCTACACAAGAAAAAATCCTGCTGCAGACACCATGTTTGGGTGTTGATCAAAGTTTTCTGTTTTCACATGCAGATCTTCACTATCTAGTCAGGTACAGCTCAATGGAATCTTATTACATTGATTTTAGTATGGTAAACAAGATCAGTATACTAAGTACTCTTTACACTGATATATTTCATTATACTGTTCATATTCATCATTAACCTGTCCATACATTGTCATTGTACTGTACATATATCATCTTTACATTGTCCTCATATCATCATTACACTGTCTATATATCATCATTTGTTGACTCAGCTGCCTTAAATGCCTTAATGCTAACATATTGTCTTCCAGGGGAAGCAATCCAGACCCCAATGTACTATCACAATGTCAGGAAAAGGTAATCCAGTTTGTGAGAGCTGGTGCTTTAGTCCAGAGTCAGGAAGTAAACAAGAGAGAAATTCACCTTTTTTCTTATTTCTTTGATGTGGCCAGATGGTCCAAGCTTATACCATGGAATGTAGACAGCCAGGTTCTCCTTGTTGAAGATTTTTTATCAGCTGCTGAGAAGTGTAAGAGAAATTTTTTTTTTTTTTTGGACTATAGCCAATTTTTTTGTACCTTTAAACTAGTGTGGTAACCTTTTAGTGTAGCTAATATTTATATTCTACTTCCAGATTGTCACCGTGATAGAATGTCTAGCAAATATCCATTTTTGTGTATAGATCTACTTTATATACACAAACTTTTGTCTACTGGAGTTGGATTGCCGGGCAACAAGGAACTTTACGTAAGTTTAGTTGAAGTTTGGTTGATACAACTTTAATTTTAGTGGTAACGATTTAAATGTGTCGCAGTACTGTCCCTTTATGTAGACACCATAGTGCTCACAGATTTGATATGATCTCAGTACTGCCCCTTTATGTGCCTACAGATTTGATCTCAGTACTGTCCCTTTATTTATGTAGACCCACAGATTTGATATGATCTCAGTACTGTCCCTTTATGTAGATCCACTGTAGTGCCTACAGATTTAATATGATCTCAGTACTGTCCCTTTATGTAGACCCACTGTAGTGCTCACAGATTTGATATGATCTCAGTACTGTCCCTTTATGTAGATCCACTGTAGTGCCTACAGATTTAATATGATCTCAGTACTGTCCCTTTATGTACACCCACTGTAGTGCCTACAGATTTGATATGATCTCAGTACTGTCCCTTTATGTAGACCCACTGTAGTGCTCACAGATTTGATATGATCTCAGTACTGTCCCTTTATGTTGTAACTACAGTTGTGTTACATGTTGCTCCATGTGTAGGTAGAAAAAAAGATCCATGGGAGAGAAGTCAGCTGGTGTCTGGGTGCTGCTCTATCTCAAGATTTTTTCACAGTTTCAAGTCTGGCCCAGCGTCAAGTTTAAAGTTGTGGTAAGAAATAAAAAATGGCAGCTTCAATGAAAACCTTTCTAAAGCCCTCCTACATGTAACAATGAGCATTCATTATTGGCACACACTTTTTATAAAAATAGAAAAGCTCACAGCATTTTTTTTAAAACCTAGTTAAAGTGTACAATATATTCTTTAGAAGATATTTAGTTGATTTTTTCTAACTAAAATTAATGTATAACCAAGCTATGTTGGCTAAATTAAGTTACATGTTTTTAACATTTTTTAACAAACTACTTTGTGCTATTGTTTTTTCTCAATAATTATCTGTATTTATTTTTAAAAATACTTTCAGATATGAAGTTGCAATATGTCTTTCATATTTTATCAAGTCTCAAAAATCCTCACAAGAATGAAAGAGCTTTTTCCAGTTTTCATTTTAAAAAGTAAATACTCATTATGCAATTGTTTTCTTATTGATTTTTTTTAAAAAGGCTTTTTGTGTACCTAAATATGGTCTATTGTTAAATGTGATCAGTGTTCATCTTAATAAGACCACATTATAAAAATATTTATTTATATATTTTTTGCTTGACAAATAAAAAAACATCAATGTTCAAAGAAAGTTCTTTGCTTTGTTATAAAAACATCAAGAAAACACCTTTAAAAAACAGAAATAAACACAAGTATTAATGTAAGGCGCTGAACTGTTTTTTTCTTAATCACAGGTGAAGTAGATGGTCAGATACAATTTTAAGCAACATTTGATTTTGAAACTGAAAACTAAAGTTTATTATTAGATGTAAATCTATAGCCAACTTTTTTTCCTATTTTAAAAATCTCAGATATACATTATTTTTTATCTTCATTATAACATCTATTGTCCAGCATTAAAAAAATTGTTTTATTCATTTTTATACCTAGACCCACATTTTTTATTTAACAATAATGGTTTTCATGATATCAAATTTCAATGTGTAGGAAAAAAAATGGTCACAGGTATCAGCTATAGCAGACCTCATTCAATAATTTTGTTCCTTTAACACTTGGAATAACCCACTTGATGTTAAATTTTATTGTTGGGGTGGTGTGCAATGTAAATCTTGTTTACTTATTTGATTTTAGACTTTTTTAAACACATGAAATATAAACATTGTTAAAAACCTTGTAACAATTAAATAAGTTGTTGAGAGTCTGATAAACAAAATTAAACAGCAGACTGTTGAGTAAGTAGATATATCTCTTTCAGAAACTGACTGCTAGGGTAACCATGTTTTAGAACTTACTTGACAGTACATTTATTTCATAAAATGTTGGGATTGCCGAGATACTATTCTGGTGGAATAGTATTAACTACTTGTCTCTAAATACTTTACAAACAGCCTACACATTTACTGCCAAATACTCACTTGATGAATAAAAAAGAATGCACCAAAAAGTAGGCTTATATCTTAATATTTTTTTAAGGCAGTGAATAAATGTTTTTAAAATAGTTTTTGGTACACTTAATAGATATGGTATCAGTCTGTTAATATCGACTTACTAAACTAATTTATAGTAAACAAGTTATATATCCAACACTTGTATCATATTCTAAACTTTAAATTTATTTTCTTTTTGTCACAAAAAATGATCAAAACAAAGAAATGAATTGTTTAAATAGAAAAAATATATAATAATATATCCAACATTGGCAAGTTGTGTCAGAGAACACTCACAACAGAAATATTTAGGTTGTCTCCCTTACACACAGTTGAAAATTCCTATCTGTCAATTGCCATATTATTGCTCAAGTGGAATGCTAGTATTTACATCAAATAGAAACTCTGTAAACAACAGAAACAATACATGGAGGGATCCCACTAGCTGCTCACTTGCTTCATCTGCAGCTTTTAGATTACCACAGACATAGCTCATTTTAAACACTCAAGCGAAAACAGACATTACATCTTATTTCAAGAAATTCAAACTTAATATTCAAATAATTTTAAGTGTGATTTTGCAAGATATAAAAATTAGGATTTTTTTTGTTTTAAACTGTAAATTGACACTAGCACAATTTTATCACAAACTATTGAGTGTAAGTGTAAACAAAACCAGTTATCAAATTTAAACTGGCAAAAACATCCAAGCAATGTCAATTTGTAGGTCTTTATTTAATATTTTTAGCACAAAAAAATCTAAACAAGTGTTAATTAAATTATTTGTTTGTCAGTACCAATGACTGAAAAAAGATCACAGACTAACAAAAAAAAAAGAAATTTATAAAAATCATGCCATGTTATGGATATAGTCAGTTGTATCAGAAAAATGCTAGCACATTTAAGATAACTTTGCCTTAGAATAGTTACATACTAAACTTGTATCAGTAGTATAGTTAATACATTTTAAGCAAATATAATATTTTTTTCTGGTCAAAATTAATTTGTTTGCAGTGTGTCATGTAAAAATTGCATACATAGGTAGACTTCTGCTAGAGATATTTCAAAAGGAAGCAAATACTGTGCTGACGGATAGTTCTTCTCCACCCGGTGTAAACAGGTGAAAAAAATCCTCCAAGTACAATGTTGATCTTATTGCACAGTTGAGGGAAGAATCCAGTAACAGAAGAGTACAAGGAGAAATGGAGCACTTAACTAATTCATGACACAATGTTGATTTTGAGGTAGAAAAAAATTAGTAAAATAAAATGAATTTATGGTTGCATTAAAGTTTGTTTTATTGTTGATAAATAATGTTAAAACAGCCTTCACTTTTATTCAACTGATAAGCTGAAATTTATAAACTGCTTTTAAATTAATTTAAGAGCAGTTATCTTCATGTCAGCTTTTTTCCATTTGGGTAGCTTGGAAAATTAAAGTCATTTTAACAATAATGTAAAACGTTAGATCCCACTGATCCATTGTTTTCAAAATCCTCGGACTTGATTAGCAAATATTAGTGCAAAAATGATCTAATGTTAGTTGATGCTTGTAATTCTAATGTAAACTAAAATAAAGCCCATAAACAAATGAGTAAAGCAATGAAAATGGACGGTAGCAAATCAAAATGTAATTGTGTCATCGAGGGTGGACGGTACAAAATGATACATGTCAAAGCCAAAAACATTTCAAAATAAAAGCTCAGAAAATAATTCACTTGCTTAAATGGAACTTTCTGGAATGTGAAACATAATAAAGCAATGAAGATTTTTTTAATCTAGAGATTTAACAAAATCTTTCACTCGGTTTCCCCTAACAAGTACTTACCTACAGACATACAAAGTTTGGTGTCAATTTCTTCTAGTGCAGCCTTTTTGGCAAGGGTTTACTCTTACAGAATTAAAAACATTTTACAATTTAAAAAAAAAATTCAATGAAGGTTAGGATTTTAAAAAAATATTTTAAAACAGATTTTGCCAAGAAAGTTAATGCAAAAAAGTAAAAATTGTTCTTTCTTGTTTAACTTGTTTCTTTCCTTACCAGTATTTTTATTATTACAAAAATTCTGTTTTACAAGTACAAAAAAATTGGTGCAAGTCAAGAAATTTTCAAACAAGCATGTTTTTTCAAGCCTATTGTTTCATTTACAAAGGCTTCTATGGCAAGATACATTTTCACACTTCCATTGAAGTCAAGGGTAATTAAACAAGCCATTACTGGTGTCATTGGATAATTAGATTCCTTCACACATCAAAATTTCTAATTATAGACTATCACATTTACTTTAACAACAACAGTTTTAACAATAAATAAGAATGTAAAAAATAAACATTGAAAATTAACAGATGAAATATCTGATCAGCGATATGTTTGTTTTCATTAAGTACTCATTTTCACAGTCATTTACCACAAAGTAAAATGCAAACTTCAATCCCACATTTTCTCAGAGTTAAGGTATAAATTCAATACATCTCCACAATTATTTAAATGTATATTTACTGCATTATTTAAAAAATGAAGAATTACTAGTTTGGCAAGGAGGTGTAAAGCGTTGGATCCAGACCTACTTAAATCCAACTGTTTATGAAATTGTTCTAGTGATGATGGCTAAATACCAAATGATTCCCCCATCTTAGTGGAAGCGTTCTCCAGGTTCTACCACTATGTGGCTCGTGTCCAGTGCTGCACAAACTAGGTCAGAGCAGCACCAAAGATTTTAGTTCAATGGTTTTCAAAGATGGTGGCACAAGTTGCATTAAAAATAAACATTTCCAATGTTTAGATATCCTTCAGATATCCTTTTATTTGGTTGGTTTTTTAGGAGTTCTGAAAAAATGTACAGATTTCTAAAATATTTCAGTACAAAGTTATCTAAAATATCTAGATAAGCATCTAATTAGTTGCCAACTCATAATTAAGTGAATGAAATAGTAAAAATATTTAACTGAAGGAACAATTTAAGTAAACTGACCTTGGTGCAGAGGTTAACTTTGATGATGTAGATTTTGTTTTCCCTGAAGAATCTGAAACAGATTTTGTGTTTAAGGTTTAACATGCACTTTAAAAATAAAATCATAAACTTAAAGTACAACAATATATGTTGTAATAATTGGAAACCTTAAATCACAAAAATAAACATGAATATAAATATTTTGCCATATATAAAAATTTCTGACTCTCAACTAACCACTCAAGGTGCTGTTGGCACTGCCCATAGAGCCACGTCTAGCAAACACGTTGTTCACTGGGGCTCGGCTGGAAAGAAAAGAAAAATTATGTCCTGACCAGTCTATAAGCATAAGGTACATGTGTAAGGTAGTTAATCCTATGGAGAGTTGCGTACCTTGTTGAGGCAACTCCAGGAGAACTTAGTGCTGGGGAAGATGAGTTGGTGGTGACTTTCTTAACTGGGGTTGGCGAGGATTTCTTGTTGACAGACATGCTCGGAGACAAGGTAGTTAGTGCTGTGGGAGACATCATTGTATGGTCAAGGTTGTCTCAAACAGACACTTATTAAAGGTCAAGGTTGTCTCAAACAGACACTTATTAAAGGTCAAAGTTGTCTCAAACAGACACTTATTCAAGGTCAAAGTTGTCTCATACAGTCATTTATTAACAGTCAAGGTTGTCTAATATATCCAGATGGTTTTGACTAATTGATTAACACTGTTTTCAATAAATGTATCATGCACACATCATATTTTAGCTGTTGTTGTTTAGAATAAGTGTCCAATAACGTTCCATACAGATCATGTACAGCTAACATGCATAAACCTACATAGGAATGGTAGTAACAAAAACAAAAAAGGAGGGGAGGGTGTTATAGAATGAAGAATAGGTACACATTTCAAGTACTTCACTAGACTATTCCCAAAATTATTCCCAACATAGATTTTGGTAGTTTTTAAATCAATTAATTAGTGCTTAGATAAACCTTGATTAGCATAAAAAAGCAATTGATATAGAAAGTTGTGTAACATTTGTTCACAATAGCCAAATTCTTGAATAAAAAGTGTAAAATCAAAACATGCTGCTAAATCTGTGAGATACATGGAAAGATTTGCAAGACATTTTAAGCAGGGAAAAGAAGCAACAGAAATTAGAACAGATATTAAATACAAATATATTGCAAATAGAAAACCAGATAACTGCCTTATCTAACTGGATTTGAAGACTTTTGTATTGTCCTTGATGTCTGCATGCCAGTCCACTTCCAACAACAAAAAAAACCATTTCCATTTATCTTTGAGTATCCACAGTACAACACAAATTTAATTTAAGAAAAGTGGTGATTACATTTTAGCAGTGTTTTAATAGTTTAATACAGAACTAAAGCCAACGTTCTTATAGAGTATACAATTTTTGATAAACATCACTTGATTTTTTTCTCCCATGCTGTTTATATAACATTTGATTTTTTCTTGAGAAATGTTTTACGTTATGTAGTGTACGATGCCTGTAGACATCCTGTGATGATCTCACTGTCACATATACAAAATAAACATACACCATAAAGCAGTGACTTAGTGCAATATTTCAAACAATAATGGCAGTTGCCTATAGTGTGTGAGGGGAAGGAATCCAAAAGAAAATCATGCAAGGGGAACAACCAGCATGCTAGGTGACAGTGGGATGCCACAGCCAACCTGGTTTTGTTGTGACCAGTACTGGGATACGCCTGACTGACTCCTTCTTTGGGGGCGTGCTTGGTCTATGTTCTGTAGAAAGATTCGATTATTAGATCTGGTAGGTGAGGTCTTGTTCTTGCTGTCAATACATTGGTCATGGAGAATTGCATTGCCAAATGACTTGGTTAGGTTATACAAATAATGAATTAAATAGACAGACATTAGTTGGTCAATAGGGTAGAAATAAAGAATCTTAGCTTTTCTGTGAGGAAAAAAGAATGTTGCGTGCTCTATTTCATACAACATATATCATACACTAGTCAAAAATCTGTTCAAAATTGTTTCTATTTCTGTATACTTTTTAAGAAGAACATGCAACCAATTAAACAAAATGGATTAATTACAGTGGAGATATTTCTCACCTGCCAAGTTCTGTTTGCTAATTGTATTGTAAATGTACAGTAATTACATTTAAAAAAATCATTGCTTGTAAACAAATAAAAATCACCCCCCTAAATAAGAAGTAAGCAAGAATAAAATAGGGTTCATCTAGAGCTGCAGAAATCATGCAGTACAATGCGGGCCATGCCTATGAACAAGGCTTACCCAGTCGAGGTATTAAAGATGGAATGCATGTGGTAGATTTAGACTTGATAAGACAAATGTTTGGGTGCTTTTCATCACACATGATGGCTGAAAGTAAAAAGTCAGGATTTTTGTTTTACTGAAACAAAAAATATGTTTATTAACAATTTCCCAGCCTTGTAAATAGGAGCTGAATTCCTGTACACTTGTATAATCATAAGTTGCAGAAACTTAGAGTTAACATTTATAAGAACAAGCCTGAAAATAACTTAATCAAAATTAGTATAATGGAAATGAAGAATCAAATTGAAATATTGGAGCCAGCAATTACCTTTGGAATTTGGAATACCAGTTGTATTTGACGATGGGATGGAGCCACGCTTGCCTGAAATTTCCTTGCTAGTAGATTGGGGAGACTTCATGGAGCCGAGACCCGTGGAGGCAGGAGCTGGAATAAAATGGGTCATTACTGAGAGCTGGAATAAGGTGGCTCTTTACTGAGAGCTGAAAGGTGCGTCTTTACTGAGAGCTGGAATGAAGTGGGACATACAAAGATTGCAAGAAATTTTTTGAAATTAAAATTTTTTTTACATTTCTTAGTAGCTGGTATTTTAGACAGTGGATCTTTTTTATTTCCAGTAACAGAATTTCTTTTTTCTGATCCTTTAGCTAACTTTGATTCCTCTTCACGTTTGTCTTTCTCCTCCTGAAATCAAATGTGGCACAGTTGGTAAAAAATACACATAAAGAAAAAATTAATTACACTTGATAAATAATATAAGCCGCATCAAGAGATAAAATCTTGAAGGAAATACAAATGTTTACCCTTAACAACATCTCTTTCTCTTCATCTTCCCTCTTCAAATCTTCTTCTTCTTCAGCTGATAAGTTTCTCCTGTTGTTTCTCTAAATGAATTAAATTACATGTAGTTTAAAAAAAATATTTAAAAACCCACCTGATTTTTAATAACCAAAAATTCATCAAACTCAAAATATTCAGTTAGTTATCTGATCCTAAAAGTTGTCAGAATTACAATTTTATGGCCATTAAAGTTTTTTTTTAACTTACTGTGCTGTCACTTCCTTCTTGTATCAAAGTTAATTCATCAGATATCTGGAAAATTATTCACAGCTTTGGTTATATAGCAAATAATTTTATCCATCAGACATGTACAAATATTAGTTTTGTTACCTGTACAGAAATGAAGTTGCCTAAGTTGAAAAACAAAAAAATTCAGATTTGTAAACAGACCTGCTGTGCCACCTGCTGTACATCGTGATCTTTATCATAAACAATAATCTGTCTCAGTACGGTGTCCAGGGCCGTGCGCAGACTCTGGTCTTTGGGCAGCTTCAAGCTTCTCTTCATCTCGGGGAACAGACTCAACAGTTTGAGTCTGACAGTTGCCACACGGTCAGACTTCATGTTGAGGATCACCTCGTACAAGTTCTCTTTGAAAGCCTGCTTGGAGTTGACCTCCAGGTAGCACCGGGCCAGGTCTATAAAAAGGCTGCGCTGGTAACAACTTCTGCTCTCACGGAACTCTGCAAAACATTTTGGCTAGTCAGATAAAATCTCTGGCCAAACATTTTGGCTGGTCAGATAAAAACTCTGGCCAAACATTTTGGCTGGTCAGATAAAAACTCTGGCCAAACATTTTGGCTGGTCAGATAAAAACTCTGGCCAAACATTTTGGCTGGTCAGATAAAAACTCTGGCCAAACATTTTGGCTGGTCAGATAAAAACTCTGGCCAAACATTTTGGCTGGTCAGATAAAAACTCTGGCCAAACATTTTGGCTGGTCAGATAAAAACTCTGGCCAAACATTTTGGCTGGTCAGGCAAAAAGACAAGGCTACCTGATAATAAAACAAGCAAATTGTTAGTAGAAGTACCTTCTTTAATTGTGTTTAAAATGTCATCCCTCTGGGCCTTGTACTTGAGATGTCTTGTAAGCACAGACAAGGTTTTAGCTGCCGTTACTTTCACTGGCAGCGCCCGCTGTAGAAGAATAAAGTGATCACTAAAATTTTTGTCAAACACTAATCATACAATGAATGGAAATAACATTTGCATAAAAAGGTCAACTTTCTCACACACAAAAAACAACCTCCACAGCTAAAACAATGAATGTTAAAGAGATTTTACATCACACACATTCTACACAGTGATGGTGCTGTAGTTTAATATATTAGGTTAGCAGTAATGTTGGCAATTTGGGGTGGGTAGGAGAGGGTCAACTGCCCCACAGCCACCTCCAACCTACCCCACAGCCAGCTCCAACCTACCCCACAGCCAGCACCAACCTACCCCACAGCCCAACCTACCCCACAGCCAGCACCAACCTACCCCACAGCCCAACCTTCCCCACAGCCCAACCTACCCCATATCTGAGCTTGTCCAGTAACAGAGGCACAGCTTGGTTGTAGATGAAGTCGTTGCTACACAACAAGTGTAGGGTCTGCATGGAGCGGAGCAAGGCTTCCTGTGTCCTCCAGCAGGGACAATTGAAGACAACGTTCTCAGCCTTCAGGAAGTTGCTCACAACCTCCTCCACAGCATGGGCCTGTGGGTGGGATGGGGGGGGGGGGAATATTGTTTCAGATTTTTAACCGTTATTTTATAGTACAGATATTTCAAACTAGTCCATAGCTGTGGCAACATTTGCACTAGTCTGCACCCCACCAGACCCCAATATCTGTGTGCCCCACCAGACAATATCTGTGTGCCCCACCAGACCCCAATATCTGTGTGCCCCACCAGCCAATATCTGTGTGCCCCACCAGACAATATCTGTGTGCCCCACCAGACCCCAATATCTGTGTGCCCCACCAGACAATATCTGTGTGCCCCACCAGACAATATCTGTGTGCCCCACCAGACCCCAATATCTGTGTGCCCCACCAGACCCCAATATCGGTGTGCCCCACCAGCCAATATCTGTGTGCCCCACCAGACCCCAATATCTGTGTGGCCCACCAGACCCCAATATCTGTGTGCCCCACCAGACAATATCTGTGTGCCCCACCAGACAATATCTGTGTACCCCACCAGACCCTAATATCTGTGTGCCCCACCAGACCCCAATATCTGTGTGCCCCACCAGACCCCAATATCTGTGTGCCCCACCAGACAATATCTGTGTGCCCCACCAGACCCCAATATCTGTGTGCCCCACCAGACAATATCTGTGTGCCCCACCAGACAATATCTGTGTGCCCCACCAGACCCCAATATGTGTGCCCCACCAGACCCCAATATCTGTGTGCCCCACCAGACAATATCTGTGTGCCCCACCAGACAATATCTGTGTGCCCCACCAGACAATATCTGTGTGCCCCACCAGACCCCAATATCTGTGCCCCACCAGACAATATCTGTGTGCCCCACCAGACAATATCTGTGTGCCCCACCAGACCCCAATATCTGTGTACCCCACCAGACAATATCTGTGTGCCCCACCAGACAATATCTGTGTGCCCCACCAGACAATATCTGTGTGCCCCACCAGACCCCAATATCTGTGCCCCACCAGACAATATCTGTGTGCCCCACCAGACAATATCTGTGTGCCCCACCAGACCCCAATATCTGTGTACCCCACCAGACAATATCTGTGTGCCCCACCAGACAATATCTGTGTGCCCCACCAGACCCCAATATCTGTGTGCCCCACCAGCCAATATCTGTGTGCCCCACCAGACAATATCTGTGTGCCCCACCAGACCCCAATATCTGTGTGCCCCACCAGACCCCAATATCTGTGTGCCCCACCAGACAATATCTGTGTGCCCCACCAGACAATATCTGTGTGCCCCACCAGACCCCAATATCTGTGTGCCCCACCAGACCCTAATATCTGTGCCCCACCAGACCCTAATATCTGTGCCCCACCAGACAATATCTGTGTGCCCCACCAGACAATATCTGTGTGCCCCACCAGACCCCAATATCTGTGTGCCCCACCAGACCCCAATATCTGTGTGCCCCACCAGACAATATCTGTGTGCCCCACCAGACAATATCTGTGTGCCCCACCAGACCCCAATATCTGTGCCCCACCAGACAATATCTGTGTGCCCCACCAGACAATATCTGTGTGCCCCACCAGACCCCAATATCTGTGTACCCCACCAGACAATATCTGTGTGCCCCACCAGACAATATCTGTGTGCCCCACCAGACCCCAATATCTGTGTGCCCCACCAGCCAATATCTGTGTACCCCACCAGACAATATCTGTGTACCCCACCAGACCCTAATATCTGTGTGCCCCACCAGACCCCAATATCTGTGTACCCCACCAGACCCCAATATCTGTGTGCCCCACCAGCCAATATCTGTGTGCCCCACCAGACCCCAATATCTGTGTGCCCCACCAGACCCCCAATATCTGTGTACCCCACCAGACCCCAATATCTGTGTACCCCACCAGACAATATCTGTGTGCCCCACCAGACCCCAATATCTGTGTACCCCACCAGACAATATCTGTGTACCCCACCAGACCCTAATATCTGTGTGCCCCACCAGACCCCAATATCTGTGTGCCCCACCAGACCCCAATATCTGTGTGCCCCACCAGCCAATATCTGTGTACCCCACCAGACCCCAATATCTGTGTGCCCCACCAGCCAATATCTGTGTACCCCACCAGACCCCAATATCTGTGCCCCACCAGACCCTAATATCTGTGTACCCCACCAGACAATATCTGTGTACCCCACCAGACCCTAATATCTGTGTGCCCCACCAGACCCCCAATATCTGTGTACCCCACCAGACAATATCTGTGTACCCCACCAGACCCTAATATCTGTGTACCCCACCAGACCCCAATATCTGTGCCCCACCACTCACCCTGTTCTCTGTGAACTGATCAAATCCCTGGTTGGCTAGTGGTGACATGATGTCTTGGAAGTTTGGAATTATTGCTTTTAAAACCTGAAAGTATCAATAGAAATTTCTGAATGCATTCTAATTGAAAAATAAAAAAATGTCACACTATAATATTTAGCCTAGTAAATTACGTACCTCAATATCAGCATCATTAAGCAGTGTATTCAGCTCAGTAAACAAAACCCCAACATTTAAGCCAAGCAACCGAGCAACCTGTTCAAGAAAACAACACAATGTCAGGTGTGTTCATGAAATATTTATAAGGGGCGAATGTCCCAAGAGATTATTTGTAGGTGACTGACCTCGTGAAAACCCGCAGCCAGTGTTTTCCTGACTATAAGGTGGGGGTCCTTGCACAGCTGACTGAAGCTGGTGTTGAGTTCTGACCGGAATAATTTGGGTCCTACAAACAGCACCATTGCCTGGTGGAAACATTGGATTCTCTTTTTACACTGTAGCAATGTTTGTTACCGTAACATTTTTTACAATCTTTTAGCTATACTAAGTTAATTTAAAATGTTATGTAATCTTTTAGCTGTAAACTATTGAAGCCAGACTTACAGGAAAATTATACGCAGCATAGCGCCTTGTATCAGTGCTGGCGTCTGGACTTGGTTCAAACACATCTAATCCATCCATCAACTAAAAACATTGGTAATCTAATTCAGTGAATGTATTCACAATCTAATTCAGTGAATGTATTTACAAACAATCTAATTCAGTGAATGTATTTACAATCTAATTCAATGAATGTATTCACAAACAATCTAATTCAATGAATGTATACACAAACAATCCAAGCCTCCCGTGTCCATACGTAAATCTCCCCTGTGTCTCCTTATGTTAACCTACCCTATGTGTGTCCTCCTTATGTTAACCTACCCTGTGTGTGTCCTTATATTAACCTACCCTGTGTGTGTCCTCCTTATGTTAACCTACCCTGTGTGTGTCCTTATGTTAACCTACCCTATGTGTGTCCTCCTTATGTTAACCTACCCTGTGTGTGTCCTTATGTTAACCTACCCTGTGTGTGTCCTTATGTTAACCTACCCTGTGTGTGTCCTCCTTATGTTTCTTCTCTGACACTCCAATCTTGCACAACTTCTTAAAATATTCTTGAAAATAACTTTTGTCTTCTACTGTCATGTACTCTAAAGGGAGATAATTCAAACACAGCAGCTAATCTGGAGTTATCCTTTTTGTAGGATTTTGTTTAATGAACTAAAATTGTTATCAATGAATTTGTATTTAATACAACTTAAATTAAAAGACTAAAATTGTACACAAACAATTGTTTGTATTACCTAACAAGCTGTGACATAAACGACCAAACAGTCTTGAAGCCACAGGAAGAGTTATGTCCACTTTCATGATGGCTTTCTCCAGCAGTTCTTTCACCATGGGTATGATGGCTTTTTCATTGGCCTCTGTGGTCAAGTAGCAAACACATGGATACACACAGCACTCTCTCATCTATACACACAGCACTCTCTCATCTGTACACACAGCACTCTCTCATCTATACACACAGCACTCTCTCATCTATACACACAGCACTCTCTCATCTATACACACAGCACTCTCTCATCTATACACACAGCACTCTCTCATCTATACACACAGCACTCTCTCATCTATATACACAGCACTCTCTCATCTATATATACAGCACTCTCTCATCTATACACACAGCACTCTCTCATCTATACACACAGCACTCTCTCATCTATACACACAGCACTCTCTCATCTATACACACAGCACTCTTTCATCTATACACACAGGACTCTCTCATCTATACACACAGCACTCTCTCATCTATATACACAGCATTCTCTCATCTATACACACAGCACTCTCTCATCTATACACACAGCACTCTCTCATCTATACACACAGCACTCTCTCATCTATACACACAGCACTCTCTCATCTATACACACAGCACTCTCTCATCTATACACACAGCACTCTCTCATCTATACACACAGCACTCTCTCATCTATACACACAGCACCCTCTCATCTCTACTTCTCTAAATCTTTAAAACCCTGCTTTATGTTGTAGTCATTTTAAACTATTACATTTCTTTAAATAATCAGAAACACTTGCAAGTCAGATAGAAACTGACCTCTGTCCAGCATGGAGATAATGTTAGCTGTAGTCTCAAGACAGGCACAGATAACACTGGGGGACTCGTCTTCTGACAGCTCAATCAGCTGAGGTAAGAGCTTGGACTTTGTTAAATCTAGACTGTACAAAACATTTGATTGGTGAGAGATTGGACTTTGTTAAATCTAGACTGTACAAAACATTTGATTGGTAAGAGCTTGGACTTTGTTAAATCTAGACTGTACAAAACATTTGATTGGTGAGATATTGGACTTTGTTAAATCTAGACTGTACAAAACATTTGATTGGTGAGAGATTGGACTTTGTTAAATCTAGACTGTACAAAACATTTGATTGGTGAGAGATTGGACTTTGTTAAATCTAGACTGTACAAAACATTTGATTGGTGAGAGCTTGGACTTTGTTTAATCTAGACTGTACAAAACATTTGATTGGTGAGAGATTGGACTTTGTTAAATCTAGACGGCACAAAACATTTGATTGGTGAGAGATTGGACTTTGTTAAATCTAGACGGCACAAAACATTTTATTGCTAATCACTGCACCATTTAGAAATACACATCTTTATTGTTTAGATATCACAACAGCAAGTTGTATACACTCTGCGCATTAAAAAAAAAGTTTTTATTTACCCTAATCCATGGGCCACCACATCCAGCCTTTGACACATGCAGGCTCTAACATCGTACTCCACATCTCCACACAGGGACAAAACTACAGGCAACACATCGTTCTTCACTCTGTAGGAACATGGTTTTACCTCAGATTTTATTTAAGATCAGTCACTATCATGACTTAACTACCATGATCAGTCACTATTATGACTTAACTACCATGATCAGTCACTATCATGACTTAACTACCATGATCAGCCACTACCATGAAGACTTAACTACCAAGATGCCATATTATCATAATGAGACAGACCCCCCCCCCCCCCCAACTACCATGATGACTGACCATCTAGAAGGATGTAGTATTTATACTCACACAAAACTCTCAAACTTGGAGGAGACTTTGCCAAGGATCTTACAACATGAAAGCCTTGCTTGCAATGTCTGACTCAACTGCCCTTTGTTTACTGCTATAGAAAGAATCTGAAAATATTAAGCATCGGATCAGTTTTGGTAGTTAGGAAAATTAATTCTAAAAATATTCTCCCATTTTAATCAAAATGACATTTCAAAGTAGAACAGTTGAAGTTTCTAACTTTATAGCTTCTAAACAATTTTTTGAAAAAAATAACCTATTTGATTTAGTCAACAGATTTTATCTAGAATAATTAAACAGAAAAAAATCCTGCCCAAGAAATCATTTTAATCAGCCTTATGAATCTGATTGAGTAAAATAGTTATCAACCAAACACAGAAAAAAGGGAGATAATGTAGAAAGTGACATTTAAAAAAAAATTTGTTTTACATGAGGAACGATTTATATAAATATATGCGTAGTCAAACACCAATGGTAATATAATCAGATTGAAATTAACTAAAAATAGCATGCAGCAAAAATGCTCAACAGATGACAATTGTGACTGTAGGTGACAAGTTTATCAGTGACAAGTCTTTCAGTGACAAAAAAACTGCACCATAGTGATCACTACATTTGGTTATTGTAAAACATTTAAAAATACCCTGACCTTACACTATAATGTAGGATACATATACAATAGGCAATTTTTACATGAAAACAGTCAAATCTCTAAGAACACTTTCCAGGATTATAATCAACATTTAGAAGATTCCTTTTTTCTGACAGTTACTGCTGCACTTATTGAAAAATATTTTATATAGTCATATCCAAATTTTACAAAAATTTCCATTACAGGTAATATTTTCACAAGTTCCTGTATAAACTAAATTCAACTTCTAAAAACAAAATTTCCACTTCAGCTGTCATTTCAAGTGTCTTTATTTAAATAGATTATCTCCCTTAATTAGTACTTTTATTTCCTGTGTCTTCAGCTATCTTTGCTGGCATGTCAGGCTAACTATAAAAACAATGCTCTAGTTAGTATTGTTTTAACCAGAGGCTTCAAACAATAGGAAATTAAGTGAATGAGAATAATTAATCAACTGAATCAAAATAACAATAAAATAATCAGTGTAGAACATCATTAATATAAACTGAACAAATTCAAAACAAAAACTTAAAAAAATTGAGCTGACACAATTAATGTGAGAAAACTTTTGGCAGTCAACAGATGAATCAGTAGCCTGTCAAAAGTTGTGTTACTGTAACTGCATGGTGTGAGGACCAAATGTTCTGTGTGTAGGTTTGTGATAGAGACCAATGTTTAAAATATCAACAGAACAGCAATAGTAATGTGATTAATATGAACACCAAACAACATGCAACTCTTGGTCCATACATACAGAGTTTTCTCCATGGAGGATCTGAAATGGGGGGGATGCTAGTCATCTTAGGCCGTACAGAGAAATGGTAGGGCGTCACTCACATATTGTTTATGGTGTATGGTAGAATTTCAGTCACATATTGTTTATGGTGTATGGTAGAATTTCAGTCACATATTGTTTATGGTGTATGGTAGAATTTCAGTCACATTGTTTATGGTGTATGGTAGAATTTCAGTCACATATTGTTTATGGTGTATGGTAGGGTTTTAGTCACATATTGTTTATGGTGTATGGTAGAATTTCAGTCCCATACAGTTTCTGGTGTATGGTAGAATTTCAGTCACATACAGCTTATGGAGAAAGGTAGAATTTCAGTCACATAAAGTTTATAGTGTATGGTAGGGTTTTAGTCCCATACAGTTTCTGGTGTATGGTAGGGTTTTAGTCCCATACAGTTTCTGGTGTATGGTAGGGTTTTAGTCCCATACAGTTTATGGTGTATGGTAGGGTTTCAGTCACATACAGTTTCTGGTGTATGGTAGGGTTTTAGTCCCATACAGTTTCTGGTGTATGGTAGGGTTTTAGTCCCATACAGTTTCTGGTGTATGGTAGGGTTTTAGTCCCATACAGTTTATGGTGTATGGTAGGGTTTCAGTCACATACAGTTTATGGTGTATGGTAGGGTTTTAGTCCCATACAGTTTCTGGTGTATGGTAGGGTTTTAGTCCCATACAGTTTATGGTGTATGGTAGGGTTTCAGTCACATACAGTTTATGGTGTATGGTAGGGTTTTAGTCCCATACAGTTTCTGGTGTATGGTAGGGTTTTAGTCCCATACAGTTTATGGTGTATGGTAGGGTTTCAGTCACATACAGTTTCTGGTGTATGGTACTGTCAGCCAGTGAAAAAAGACCCTGACAGATCCCAGCTCTCACCCAGGGACCTGATAACAGCAAGGGACAACAACAATAGTTGGTCCAACATTAACAGCAAGGGACACCAACAACAGTTGGTCCAACATTAACAGTAAGGGACACCAACAACAGTTGGTCCAACATTAACAGCAAGGGACAACAACAATAGTTGGTCCAACATTAACAGCAAGGGTCACCAACAACAGTTGGTCCAACATTAACAGCAAGGGACACCAACAACAGTTGGTCCAACATTAACAGTAAGGGACACCAACAACAGTTGGTCCAACATTAACAGCAAGGGTCACCAACAACAGTTGGTCCAACATTAACAGCAAGGGACACCAACAACAGTTGGTCCAACATTAACAGTAAGGGACACCAACAACAGTTGGTCCAACATTAACAGCAAGGGACAACAACAATAGTTGGTCCAACATTAACAGCAAGGGTCACCAACAACAGTTGGTCCAACATTAACAGCAAGGGACACCAACAACAGTTGGTCCAACATTAACAGTAAGGGACACCAACAACAGTTGGTCCAACATTAACAGCAAGGGACACCAACAACAGTTGGTCCAACATTAACAGCAAGGGACAACAACAACAGTTGGTCCAACATTAACAGCAAGGGACACCAACAACGTTGGTCCAACATTAACAGCAAGAGACACCAACAACAGTTGGTCCAACATTAACAGCAAGGGACACCAACAAGAGTTGGTCCAACATTAACAGCAAGGGACACCAACAACAGTTGGTCCAACATTAACAGCAAGGGACACCAACAAGAGTTGGTCCAACATTAACAGCAAGGGACACCAACAACAACAGTTGGTCCAACATTAACAGCAAGGGACACCAACAACAGTTGGTCCAACATTAACAGCAAGGGACACCAACAACAGTTGGTCCAACGTTTCAGCCAGAACTGTCAATTCAGCAAAACCTTTAACTGCTATATAACCTCAATATAACTTCCTTGGTCATTTAGTGAAAAAAGGAAAGTTTAAAAAAAAAAGAATGTTTTATTGTCAACAAAGGCAGAGAAAAGAAAATTCAAATACATTGAAACTCATATAAACAAGAGGAGCAGTTTAAATACGTTGATGTCTTGCAGAGATATGACAAACAAACAAACACAAGAGCTCTCTGGCTTTGGAAATTATCAATAGCAGATCACAAGCACAAATGGCAAATAGAACACGAAGAAAATAATGTGAAAAACTTGAGACAAAACAGATTCAACTTTCTGACAGACAGGAAATAAAAGCAAACATCAAGCACACCACTTACAGCAACAAAAACATGACACACAATTTGACAAAAAATGTGACATGTTAAAGCCATTAAAAAAATGATAAAAAATTGGCTCACATCTTTTTTCACCACTTCCTTAGGCAGCAGATCAATGCAGCACAGCAGGGTCTCAAGCCAGGCGTTGGCTGCCTCTGGGGGTACAATGGTTATGTTATATGTTAGCTATATGTTCTAGTTTATGGCTGCCTATGGGGTACAATTGTTATATGTTAGCTATATGTTCTAGTTTATGCCTGCCTTTGGAGGTACAATTGTTATATGTTAGCTATATGTTCTAGTTTATGCCTGCCTTTGGAGGTACAATTGTTATATGTTAGCTATATGTTCTAGTTTATGGCTGCCTATGGGGTACAATTGTTATGTTATATGTTAGCTATATGTTCTAGTTTATGGCTGCCTCTGGGGGTACAATTGTTATATGTTAGCTATATGTTCTAGTTTATGCCTGCCTTTGGAGGTACAATTGTTATATGTTAGCTATATGTTCTAGTTTATGGCTGCCTATGGGGTACAATTGTTATGTTATATGTTAGCTATATGTTCTAGTTTATGGCTGCCTCTGGGGGTACAATTGTTATATGTTAGCTATATGTTCAAGTTTATGGCTGCCTATGGGGTACAATTGTTATGTTATATGTTAGCTATATGTTCTAGTTTATGGCTGCCTCTGGGGGTACAATTGTTATATGTTAGCTATATGTTCAAGTTTATGGCTGCCTATGGGGTACAATTGTTATGTTATATGTTGGCTATATGTTCTAGTTTATGGCTGCCTATGGGGTACAATTGTTATGTTATATGTTGGCTATATGTTCTAGTTTATGGCTGCCTATGGGGTACAATTGTTATGTTATATGTTGGCTATGTTCTAGTTTATGGCTGGCTATGGGGATACAATCTTATATATTAAGCTCAAATAGTTATTTTTAGCTCAGACAAACTAGATACTTTGGTTAAAGCATAACTATTTATATACATTTCTGCCAAATGTTAGCTCAAGTGTGTAGCTCAGCCATATCAAATACTTGGCATTTATATGTATAAAGGAATAGGTGATGTAAGCCAAGAACATTTTTTAATTTAAAACTAGTATGTCCACTTTCCTGTTTACATTTTCAATGACTTCCAATGTAATAAAATGTAGTGTTTGAGATCAATGTCTTTCAATGTAACAAAATGTAGTGTTTGAGACCAATGTCTTCCAATGTAACAGAACGTAGTGTTTGAGATCAATGACTTGCAATGTAACAAAATGTAGTGTTTGAGATCAATTTCTTCCAATGTAACAGAATGTAGTGTTTGAGATAACCAAGAATGTGACCTGTGTCCTGAGACTAGTGGGAAACACTAAACCATTTCTGCAGTCTCTAAATGATCCCTGGAGTGGCAGTCAAATCCCATCCATCAGAATCTTCAGCTAACTGAGGCAAAACTTTGGTGTTTTTTTTTACTATAAAAACTGTTTGGCTCTGTGCCAAACCAGTGTGTTGAAATGTGGTTAAACAAAAAACTAGGAAAATATTCAGAAACAAAATAGCACCTACAAATACTTGGCTTTAAAGGGAGGCCAATCTAAATATTGAAGCTACCAGAACTTCAGAAATGTTTGTTATGAAAAGTTACCTTCATTTTTATTGTCCACAGAAGTTAGTATGGTCTGTAGAAAGGTCCTCTTGTACTCCTCCACTGAGACCAACTTCCTCTCTAGGATCTGCAGGAAGGCTGTGGCGGCCGCCAGCTGCATGTCCATGTTGGCCACATATAGAACCTCCTGCGTGGTGGGAGGTGGGAGAGTTAGCATACACGTATGGGGACATTAGAATTGACGTATGTCATACAAAGCCACGTAAAGAACCTCCTGCATGGTGGAAGGTAGGAGAGTTAGCATACATGTTCAAAGTCAGGAGAGTTAGCATACACGTATGGGGACATTAGAATTGCCGTGTGTCATACAAAGTCAGGAGAGTTAACTCACACATATGGGGACATGCAGATCTAAAGTATGTGGTGAGGGTTTTATTCATCTGTATGTGTAGAAAATATTACACAAAAGCATATGTAAGGCATTACATGCACATGTAAAGACATTGAAAGGCATTATATACGAATAAATGTTAAGGGCATCACCACATGTCTTGTGGGGAGTATAAATGTATGTGTAGATGGTTACATATTACACACACCTAAGTATTTTATTGAATTTGCTAAGAGTGTTATAGTGTAGTAGTATATGGAACCACTAGAACCACTAAATCCCCAATAGAAAATGTGCAAACACTAAATCCCCAATAGAAAATGTGCATACACTAAATCCCCAATAGAAAATGTGCATACACTAAATCCCCAATAGAAAATCCCCCATACAAAGTGTGCATACAAAATGTGCATACATTTCAAATGTCTAAACTGTTAAGTGAAGTAACTGAAGCAACTAAACCAAGAGTTTAGTATGTGTCTATTTAAGAGCACCATGACAAAATATTGGGGCAGTGATGCCTTGCTAAAGTAACTAATTTTTTTAATAGCCTGAGTGTTTGAATTCTGGGAAATGTCTGGGAGGAAAACACCTGGTGTAGGAGGGGGGGGGGAGGTGAGTGGGATGCCAGGATATGCTGTTACCTGCAACAGGTGAGAGAGTACTTGTAAGGGGAGATTAATTACCTAGATGATTGTATTATTAAGGCTTACAAAACTGATGAAGATACAGAAGGATGGATTAACAGGAGATTGGAGATAAGCAGCAGTAATCCACTTCTCATCATTTGATACTAACTAGAGTTATTCTTGAGAAGTTTAGCCAAGCTCAAGAAAACAAAATTATAAACAGATAAGTATTCCTGTTTGTCAGATTTGAAATCTAAAACAATACCCCACTCTAGTGAACATTAAACATTACAAAAAACTGAAGGTTTAGGAAGGAGCGTGGGGGGAAGGAGGGTGGGAGGAATGGGGGGGGGGGGGGGGGGGGGTAGACTTTCTTCCCCTTTCCCCCAAGAGATGTCTGGAAGAAACTCTGGGGGAGGGGGGGGGGGGCAGGGACTGTATCAAGAAATATCAAAAGCAAGTTTGCATGTGCCAATGATCCATCTCATGAGGTCACGTGTCAATGTTCTAGTGACGTCACATCATTACTTGACGATAGCTCAGTGGGTGCCATGTTTTAGATAACTCATCCGTTTCTGTTTCCTGCGTTAATCGCACTATGTCAAGGACGCTCATCAAACAGCTGGTTTATCAAGTTGGCTGCGGCTGAAAAGAATCTGATAGAATTTCATGAGCCATCTCTGTTGTTCCATAATTTCTCGCTACATGATAAGGTACGCAAGCCTATAGTTCCCGCGCATTTAGCAGGTAACGAAGGTTAAGTGGCTGGTATTTTCACCTGCGCAGGTAGCTTTAGTTTCTCAATTCTGTAAAAAATTACTATTCTGTGCTACACAAATCTGAGATCAGATTGTCCACACACCGCCCGTCTACATTACTCTAGTTGAATGCTAACTACTCGGCCACGTCCTTATTTTAGTCTAGAGCACAAAGTCCGCATGCTGTGTTAGACAAACGAAACTGATTGGAGACGACGTTTCTCATTAGACACAAGTAACTAACTTCACAATAGCCTAACCCGTGTCTAGGGCAGACGTAACTAAAAGCTGGCCCAGACGGTCTACATCTCAGACATTTGATCTGCTCTCACACAGACATTTGATCTGCTCTCACACAGACATTTGATCTGCTCTCACACAGACATTTGATCTGCTCTCACACAGACATTTGATCTGCTCTCACACAGACATTTGATCTGCTCTCACACAGACATTTGATCTGCTCTCACACAGACATTTGATCTGCTCTCACACAGACATTTGATCTGCTCTCACACAGACATTTGATCTGCTCCAGTTTATCGGTCTGGACGTGTCGATATCAGCTCCTACACTCACTTTCTCTAGATACTTGCCTGTGTGTAGGTTTGGGTATGTATAGATGTGTATATGTAGGGCCTACACACCTAGGACTGCATACACCCACAAACACAAGAGGGACCAAGATGGCCTCTCCAGGCGAGCACGTGCCACGATTAACTCCCTGCTGGTGATAACGTGACATAAAAAATGACGTCTGCTGCAAGTCAGGTAGGTAGAAATGCTTTCTTCTCATCAGAACGGTGTGGCCCCAGCACATGTAAGTCAACATCAAGGTAACCTGTCACATGATCTCCCCCGATACAAAGCGCTGCTCTGATCAGAACCACACCCACACGTGCCGTACCTGCCCTTTACACTCGCCCCATTGACAACTGCATGCACGGATGGCGGCGCCACCCTGATAGCCTCGGCAAGAACAAAGTAAAGACAGCCCCCCCCCCCCCCACATAGTTGCTGGCTCATGTACGGCTCCTCCCTCACGACCAGATAAGCCAGATTTAAATTTGGCAGAAGGTAGTAGGTCAGTTGTCGTGGTCTATATTTTAAAGATTTGACTCGACCGGTGACTCCTGATACCCACATCATCCCCAACAAGTTGCCGACAAAATCAGTCGCAAGTTGCCGACAAAATCAGTCGCAAGTTGCCGACAAAATCAGTCGCAAGTTGCCGACAAAATCAGTCGCAAGTTGCCGACAAAATCAGTCGCAAGTTGCCGACAAAATCAGTCGCAAGTTGCCGACAAAATCAGTCGCAAGTTGCCGACAAAATCAGTCGCAAGTTGCCGACAAAATCAGTCGCAAGTTGCCGACAAAATCAGTCGCAAGTTGCCGACAAAATCAGTCGCAAGTTGCCGACAAAATCAGTCGCAAGTTGCCGACAAAATCAGTCGCAAGTTGCCGACAAAATCAGTCGCAAGTTGGCGAGATAATCAGTCGCAAGTTGCCGAGATAATCAGTCGCAAGTTGCCGACAAAATCAGTCGCAAGTTGCCGACAAAATCAGTCGCAAGTTGCCGACACAACAAATACAAACGAATCAAATTTGACAAAAGGTCAAATAAAAATAGCAACAAGTAAATGAACTGAGGGGAACGAACCAATCAAAACACTCAAAAAAGTGATAAAAAACGAAAGCACGGCTAAAACCACTCAGCCATTGATTGAGACAGTGAAACTGATAGAAAGCCAAGGCAATCAATACAAGCAAGACGTTTTCCTTCTCTAGGCGACCTCCCAAAAACACCAACCACCATAGACTAGGGGGTACCACACTAGACCATCATAGTGTAGGCCACATTAGACCATCATGGTGTAGGCCACACTAGACCATCATAGTGTAGGCCACACTAGACCATCAGAGTGTAGGCCACACTAGACCATCATAGACTAGGGGGTACCACACTAGACCATCATAGTGTAGGCCACACTAGACCATCATAGACTACGGGGTACCACACTAGACCATCAGAGTGTAGGCCACACTAGACCATCATAGTGTAGGCCACACTAGACCATCATGGTGTAGGCCACACTAGACCATCATGGTGTAGGCCACATTAGACCATCATGGTGTAGGCCACACTAGACCATCATAGTGTAGGCCACACTAGACCATCATAGTGTAGGCCACACTAGACCATCATGGTGTAGGCCACATTAGACCATCATGGTGTAGGCCACACTAGACCATCATAGTGTAGGCCACACTAGACCATCATGGTGTAGGCCACATTAGACCATCATGGTGTAGGCCACACTAGACCATCATAGTGTAGGCCACACTAGACCATCATAGTGTAGGCCACACTAGACCATCATGGTGTAGGCCACACTAGACCATCAGAGTGTAGGCCACACTAGACCATCAGAGTGTAGGCCACACTAGACCATCATAGACTAGGGGGTACCACACTAGACCATCATAGTGTAGGCCACACTAGACCATCATAGACTACGGGGTACCACACTAGACCATCAGAGTGTAGGCCACACTAGACCATCATAGTGTAGGCCACACTAGACCATCATAGTGTAGGTCACACTAGACCATCATAGTGTAGGCCACACTAGACCATCATAGTGTAGGCCACACTAGACCATCATAGTGTAGGTCACACTAGACCATCATAGTGTAGGCCACACTAGACCATCATAGTGTAGGCCACACTAGACCATCATAGTGTAGGACACACTAGACCATCATAGTGTAGGCCACACTAGACCATCATAGTGTAGGCAACAGTAGACCATCATTGTGTAGGGGAGTGTGTTGGGGGGTTCCACACTAGACCATCATAGTGTATGGGAGTGTGTTGGGGGTACCACACTAGACCATCATTAGGTGTGTCGCTCTGGTTAACGTCGAGCTTAAGTTGACCAGAAACGATAGAATCAATTGTGGGAAACTAAGTACCCCAGCTCCCCTACAAACATCCCATCTGGCTAAACAGATTAAAGAAACAAGTACACCAGTTTGTTAGCAAATATAACGTGATTGTTTTTTAACTCAGCAATCATAGGTTTAAACTAACAGCTTCAGTGAAAGCACCAGGTGCCAATGGTAACAACAGGTAAAACCAAAGGTATGCAACCGCAACTGTTTGTGGCAATGACGCAACTTGGTAGTTAAAACATCGGCTGGGAGAACATATGCAACAGTTTCGAACTACTTTAGGTGCAGACTGTTTCGTGGGACAGGTAGTTGGGTGGGGCAGGTAGTTGGGTGGGGCAGGTGGGTGGGTGGGGCAGGTGGGTGGGTGGGGCAGGTAGTTGGGTGGGGCAGGTAGTTGGGTGGGGCAGGTAGTTGGGTGGGGCAGGTAGTTGGGTGGGGCAGGTGGGTGGGTGGG